ATTAAAAGTATTTTGATTGATTTTTACAAAAAATTATTACAATATATTTTTACAGTAATAAAGTTAATAGTGATAAAAGGAGAAATTTTATACAATTTTAAATATACTCTATGTTTAAAATTGTTTATAAATAGTAATTTTGAGAGAGATAGACGGAGAGTTTTTAATCTTCCTAATTTGTATTTTTTAATTAATTAAAAATAAAAAAATTGACTGTTAATGAATTAGCCGGAGATGAATTGTCCAGATAGCTTGTACTTTTTATAACAATATGAAAAATGTAAATATATTTTGAGTATTGAATGCCAAATTAACTGTATTTATAACTGACTATAAGTTCAAAAAAAAACAAAGGATTATACTCAAAATTCAGTACACAAATTATTAATAGTTTTATGCTAAAATCTTAAAATTACAAAATATTAATAATACTTAAATAGACAGTATATCAACACAACGCGCGATACAGGACGTGTATAATTATAAGATGTAATAGAATTTATAAAAACATTTTCTTGAGAAAACCAAGTCAAATTCTTATAAAGTTATATAAGTTTTAAACATAACATTTTATTAGGAAATTTTAAATAGAAAAAACCGTAGCTATTTTTAAACAGTTTTGAACAATATAAATGAAATAAAACCAAAAATAATATAAATTATTGTAGAAATTTCATAAAAAAAAAATGTAATATTTGACGTAAACCCCTTTGACTAGCATTACAATTCACCGTAAGTGGGTAATCGACAAGATACATTCCTACCATTCTCAATATAGTGATTTTTGCTATACTACCTGAATATACATATTATAATATCATATATGTGATGTGTTTGTCAGCGGTCGAATTAACGTTCTGAATATCTATTTTCAGTAGTGATGGGAAATATCGAATAGTAACTTTCGAACTATTCGATAGACATTCAAAAACTATTCAAATAGTAAAGATATTCGATAGTTACACAACATATTCGAATTTTTTATTCGATAGTCTATTCGAATAGTTTTTAAAACTATTCGATAGTCTATACTAAAAATAAAATATTCGGTTGTATAAACACAATTCGAATAGTTAATTGATAATTTAAAATATTTGAAAATGCCAATCAGTAATTTTCAGTTTTTATCACGCCATTACCTATATCTGAATAGTCTTAAGGAACTAACGAAGAAATAACCAATTGGTTACCTAATTGGATGTCCCTATTAGATGATTTATCACCAAACGGGCAATGTTGTAAAGAAAATTTGTGTTAAAATTAAATTTATTTTCGCTTTTAGGTAGAATGGTTACAGAACAAAACTAGATTTTTAGTCTTATCATAAAAACATTAAAAACTCACTGCTCTATAACGCAATATGTTCACAATAGGCTATATGGTATAGATAATTCGTCATGATAAAAAAAAAATTATTTTAATGATTGGCACCTTTTATCATATCCATACAAGTGATCCATAGGAGCGCTAATATGTAGAAGATAAAATCACAAACTAAGATTAAATGGACTGAACACGACAAAGTCGGTGGAAGCGTCATTCTATTTTATTATAAAATTTTTGGGAATATTTGGCTAGTAGTAAACTACGTATAGTAACAAACATGTTTTTAGAATACAAAATTTAAAAAACGAAGTGGAGAAATTGGGGAAAAACATGTAAAATAGTAGATGGCGACGTTACTTCAACATTTCCCCTTCTACGGAAAATTTATATTAAAATAGAATCGCTTGAAAGACCTCATATACAGACAATTTTATCTTAGTTCGTGGGTAAATTCCAATTTATGATAAAAAACTTTTACGTCGTAGTTTCTTGCAAGATTATATAGATTGTTGTGTACTAATAGTTATAGAAATTAATATTAGAAGAGTGATTTCTGGCGACATCAACGATATGTATGGGAACTTTGATCCACTCTGTAGCAGCTATATGGGCGATGTTATAAAATAAATATTTTCATGATTTGAGGGACTTCAGCCCTATTTTTGAGCGATTATGCAATCACAAACTTTCTGTCAACCTAGATTACGAACACGTTATTGCTTGATGAGTACCCTTGTACCTTCTGCACCTGATACTTTAAATAAAATTATACTCTTTATTTTGTAGCCATCTATTAAATTAGTATGAAATTATATTTAAATTACATCTAAGTATTGAATATATAAAAAGAGTGAAAATATCAATCGTTCTAAGTGCCAAAAAACGTATTATTCCTGACCGTGGCTCTTGACCAATGTCAGATGCGCAATCACTAAAGGGAAGGAGGAGTGATTGATTAAATTCGACTTTTAAATCAACCATTATAATTATTTAAAATATTAAATATGTATACTGAAATCTTAATTAATACACAATTATAGACTTTATAATCTATCTAAGTTTGAAAAAATAGTTTCTAAAACATAATAACCTAAATAATAATTTCCTATTAATATAATTTGTCACAATAGTTATTTCTCATTAAACACAATAAGCTAGTGCTTAAGTAATTATAGAAGAGCGAAATATAATTTTTAATTTTAAGTTTTTATTTCATATGAACAGAACTGAAGAAATAAATGCAAATATTTATTGTAAAATGTTTTTAGACCAACGATAGGTTATTTATACACTAATAACTACTAAAGAAAATAATTAAGTCAAATATAATTAGTAAATTTTTACACATATGATTTCTACAGTTAAAAAACTTAGCTATAATACGATATCAAAATTATTATATATGTTTTCTTTAATTTTTTTTTTCATTTACTTATTGAAATAATTATTAATCTGAGAACTAAGAAGAATAAGTAACGTCAAAAATATAAAAGAAATCATTAAAAAGTACATAAAATAATTATGTAGAATACATTGATCAAATATTCAGAAAAACATATTTTGTAATCACGATTTTCCCTTTGATTTACTTATTATATGAGCATTACAGGGACATTTTGAATTACCAGATGTATAACAAAGAGATGTGTAGTTTCTTTTGTTAAAACACAATTAGTTTAGTTTTTTAATAAACTAAACGAATTGAAGATATACATGTTTTACATACTGAAATCTTAAACAAGAGCAGAATTGACATGATATTTTTTACTTCTGGCACAGATGATTTTGAGTTTGAGAAATAATCATTTCCTTGTTAATGGGTAACTATACTGTACTTTGTTTGAAAATCCTTTAAATATTTAATTTTCAATAAAAATTTTGTTTTGACAAAAATGTATTCGAGGATAAAATAACTATTATCACAACATTGTGTTAATGCTCCTGCCATAAAAAAAAGTAATATTAGTTTCTTAATTTTTAATTTAATTTACGTATTTCACTAATATTAGTATTTTTTTTTTTTTGTCCATTTTATTAATTACTCATGTTGAATTAATCAAGTAGTGTTAAATTAAGGACTATCAACAATTTTAATATTACTGAGGCTCGTTTTTTAATAATTTATTATTTAATAATAATAATAATATTATATAATTTTTTGATAATAGTTTTCTACTCTCGTTTAATATAATAATAATAATAATAATAATAATACTTTCTTTGCTATCCATTATATTTGGCAATTAATTTTCAATTTAAATTTTAATATTAATATTGAGTTGGTGACTGGTAAACATCTACTAAAACAAACTCCTACACAAATATAGTTAACTCCTACACAAACATAGTATAATCAGATTTGTTTCGAATTTTGTAGAGATCATTTTTAGATTAGTTGGAATAAAAAAATGTCAGCCCTCATAGAAAATTAATTTTTTTATTTTAAGCTTATAACTTTTTATACAACTCTCTAATGTTGTAATTACAGTATTATAAATAATTATATAATATTTTGTAATAATATACTTAAGTACGTCATAAAGTACTATAAAATTATAGTGATGTGTCACAAAAACTTTATAAATAATAAAGGGATAAACCCAAGTAAAACACGGAATCAATTTCATTATGCTTATCATATATATTTTGAATATTAAATTTTCAACAAATATAATAAACAGCAGAAAATATAGATTCAGAACAGGCGGTGAAATGTTTAAAAACTTAAAAAATAATAAATCTTAGAAACAAAAACCATTATCAAAAAAACTGAATAAAGAAAAAACGTTAAATTTAAATAAGCTTCCTAATAAAAATCCGTTTACAATGTTTTATACAAAAAACAATTCATGCTTTAGATGATTAAAATAACATTACAATAAACTCTTCTAAAAAATAACGTCGTTAAGACAATATAATATGCAATAATTTATTTTAATATTGAAGTTCTAAGTGAATACTATCGATAAATATAAAAGATTAATTAACAAAATTTACTAGTATAGCTGTTATTGCCCATAGGGTACAGTCACTACATGCAAATTTGCAAAATATTTAGCTTATTTACTGTTTATACACAATTAAAAGGAAGCGAGATGAAGTGATTAATTTATTCCTCCTTCTAAAATTTTTTAAATATAATTATAATAAAAATATAATATTTCGTGAGTGAGAGATTTGGGCTTGATGAGCCTTTTGGGTACGACTTGCAAAAATTATTTGAATATGTCTGTTTATCTGTCAATATATTCTTAAGACGATTTTTGTTAATATAAACTCTCTATAAAAATTTTACTGCTTAGTAAATAGTTGCAATTGTATTTGACTACATCTAATAATACACTCTGTAATTAATTTAGACGTGTTGACTTTAACCATAGATTTCAACACCTAATTTACTATTTGTAATTGAGATTATGCTATATTAGTAGTTGCTAGTCCTTGGATGGACGACTTCTCAAAAATTATAACAACAACCATACTACGCATCCTAAGTATGAAGAAAGTCGCGAATTGTCTAAAGAGACCGAACTGAGTCATAAAAAGCTCATTTCCGGCCATTGAGTCATATTATATTAATAATGTGATAAAGATAGATCATTATTATCTATTAAGATAAATAATAATAATATACTTGTTTAGTTCTAAGGAATAAAAAATTACATTTTTTTCAGGGTTGTACTGCCCCGATGAATACTAATGCCGTTACAATGACGACAGGTGCAAAGAGTGGATCGGCTGTAGTTCTGGCGAGTAGCGTACTCTCTGACAACGGGTTACCTACACAAATAAACAACACAAAATCAGTGAACTGTGGTTTATCATTAATAGCTGCCGCCGTAGTTTTGATAGTGACCATTACGTAAAAAAAACTGGTCACATTGCAAAATATCTATAAATACATATTTCGGAGGAATTGATTGACTACTACAAATGTTATGTATTAAACATTAAATTCTATAGAATTCGCCAAAAATTAAATGAATGGCGTTATAATACTGGGATTACAGATTGTACTATTTTGGAGAGAAGTCTTATTAAAGTTGCCAATCCAACATATTTCTTGAAAATGTGTTGATATGAATTGTAGCAGGCACTCCACAGTGATCTGAATTTTAAAAAAAGTGGCCAAAATCAAATTTATATTGAAAATTTTTGTCTCACAACAGTCATTTTATCCCAAAATAATTGAATATATATATATATATATATATATATATATTTCAAAAATTCAATAGTTACCCTAAAGAAGTTAAATTAAATTTAAAAAAATTTGTTTTAACCAATAAAATTTTTATATTTTTTAATTTTATTTTTAATGTGAATAATTTAAAATAGTACTAGTAATAATTTGTTTTCAAATTTTAGTGTTTGTAGTATACCAATTATATATAAATATATAGATCTTAACGACAAGTTTTATAATATTTTAATGAAAATTTAACAGGTTCATAGTATCTATCCAAAGTATTATCTAATAAATGTTTAGAAAACTTAATCTTAATGTATTTTATACACTTTCACGCTGAAATTAAAACCACAATAAAATATCAGTGACAAATTATTTTTTGGCGTTGGATTAGCTGTATAGATGTATCTTAAAAACGCTTGATTAAAATTATATCCCATTTTTTATCTGTTTATTTTATATTATGCAATTATGTATGTATTATATGAGCTTTATTTTTGAGGTTGCTAAATTTAAGAAGATATTTGTAGCAGCCAAATTAACATTATTTTAAAAGTTATTAAAAAATGTACTAAATAAAATTATTAAATTTATAATAATTGCGAGATTTTAAATTTCCTACCTTATTACAACATACTTTTAAATTTGAAAAATCAATTTAAAATCTGAATTTTACAATCCCAAAATTGTATAAAACCGTAAATCACTTGAATTAAATTTTAAAATCATCTTCTATAACCTGCTCTTAAAAGGGTTCAAATTAAAAATTTATATAATTTAGCGACCTCGAAAACGTACATATTAACCTATTTAACAATATTATCGGATGTAATTAAAGTGATATGATTTTTGGCCATTTTATTTATTTTTTTTTTTGAACCACTGTGCACATCTGTACTACTTATTGTTTTATACAACACCTTTACTTTATAACATTATTATAACATGTGTAATACTATGAGGTAGTGTTATACATATTAATCAATGAAAAAAAAATTAATCTAAATACGTATACATGTATATGAAGCACTTGGTTGAACCGAGAATGCGTGAACAAGTTCGTCAGTAATTTACATACAACATACTGAATAAAGTCTTTTAAAGGTATATTTACTCTTTTTATATTATCCCACACTCTTTTATTCATAGAGGCTATATAAAAATTATTTTTAAAGATATAAACGCCATTTTTTTTTATAATACATACAGATTTTGCCAAACTTCATAAACGGCATACGTGATTTGAAGATAAAAAGTTGACATACCACAAAAATAATATTAATGAGCACATGTGCAAAAAAAAATTATAATTTTACTGCCGACTTAAAAGTGCTGCAAAATTGAAATATTATAAAAATATTTAATAATTTAAAAATTATATCTCCTTTAGATAAGAGAATACAATTTTTTTTGTTTACACCAACGACAATTTAAATATAACTAATGTTTATCATTCGACAAGTATGACTTTATTTCTAAACTCCTAAAGCTAACCTATAAATTCATAAACAGATTATTTTATTATTAGCAATAATAATTAGTAATAATTTATTACTAATATTGTTTTAAAATTATCATATTATTAAATAAATGAGTATTTATATGATTTTTTTAACCTAAATATATTAAATATTTTTGTTTAAACATTATTTTTTATTGAAAAATAAAATGATCTTGGTTTGGTAATTGATATTGTAAATGTGGCGGAATTAAAAAATGTTTAACTGATGGGCTGAGCCTGGCTTTTAAGGCTTATAATATGGTCCTGAAATTAGTCTAAATTTGTCAAATAGAAAATCAATGGAGTTTAGACTGGGCTCCTTTCTGGGAATTGGCGGTCTGGGTCGGGCAATAAAACGAAAACCTACGCAGAGCTCTAATACCAACACACAATCAAGATTACTAACTCTTCTAAAATAGTTACTAGAACACTCGTTGAGCCTAATTTCTGTTAAAATAAAAGAAACTTGCGTTAAGGGCGTTATAACTTATTAGGAGTAGCCATCAAAGAAAATTTTCACATAATTTTAGCGGAAATATTATGATTATAATAGACAAGGTAATTGATACTTTTCTTATAATATTGTATACAAATGTAATAAAGCTCAATTGACACTTAAATACTTGATTATAAAACAACATTCATTATATCTTTACTTTTCAACTATCATTCATAACAATTAACATCAAATAACTTGGATTTAATATGCTTTAATCTCAAAAATAAATATATGTATTTCTACACATAAATTTTTTTTTGCTCTAGAAAAATTGAACACAACATTATTATTACTTTAATCGTAATTATAGAAAATTAAAAACAACTATTTTAAACAATAATGATTTATAATTAAATTATTAAAACGTTTATTATATTAATATGATTTGTTTAATTCATTTTAGCTAGTGACTCTTTGTAATTTTGTTAATTCTTCATTCATTTTTCCAATATCATCACTCTCAAAAAATGTCTATATGTGAATTGTAACTAATATATATTTTTTAATGTATATTATTATTAACGAATTTTGTTTGAACAATTATTTGTTATAAATTTTAATATGTTGTATAAAATTTTACTAATGTAAATATTGTCATGAATTATAATATAAATATTGTTTATGATTAAAAGAAAATTAATATGACTTTAATTAATGATGAAATGAAATATTAATTTTACGAATTACTTTATTCTTATATGTTTAAATCTTAACACGTCTTTAAATTTAGTAAAAGTTGGTTATCAAACTTTAAAGGTTTCATTGATATGATTAGTTAGATTGGTTGCAAGAAGATACATTGAAATTATTTCTCAATCATTGGAATACAAATAAAAAGAACTTCACAATCTGCTGTGTCCATATAAATTAAATTATATTATATTTTTATAATATTTAGGGGTCCGTCTGGTCTAGTGCGTAGAAACGTATGTTTGATTAAGTATGACGGGGTCTCATTTCAATCTCTAAGGTACCAACGAGATTTTTCTTGTGATTTTCTCATTGATGGTGTCTGGTTTAAAGTGCAAGTAATAATAATACCCGACCCGTTTATCATTCGCTTAACGAAAAACAATGTTTGATTCCCTAATATGTGAAAGAGGGCCATAATACTCTGTTACATGTTAGGTTCCGGAAATAGAATAATATAAAACTGATCATTTTTTTTATATATAATATTTTAAATGAATACCGTTCAATGAAATAATAATAAGAAAAATAAAATAATTGAGTAGTTAATTCTTAAAATTTCATTCTATCAACATTAATAAGCGCATATTTATCTTGTCAGTTCTAGAGCAATGATTTGAGATTTAGTGTAAGTTTTAAGCAAAAGACCCCGTGCAATTGCATACTGTGTTTGCTATTGCACCAACACTAAAATTTATAAATATAAATATTTAGTAAAAATTTTTCCAGTTGAATAAATGTAAAATTAATACTTTAACATTTGTGTATCAACAAACAATTTTTACTATGATTGTCAATTTATTGGTTATATCACATTTTGCTGGCATTAAAAAAAAAGTGTATTAGCCTAGTCAAATATTAAGCTTATTACTCTGAAAGTCTTAAACCTTAGGGAATCGAATACAAACTCTATCTGTTAAAAGACAAATTCAATTTTTAACTCCTTAGAGATTATTATTCTATCTTTTGTCGAATTACCTACTTTATCTGACTATATATAACCACAGGTACAATACTCCTTATTATATTAATCCTGATCAATTTTATTTTGCATTCCAGTTTTTCTTTTATATCCTCAAAATATTATGTAATAGTCACTATAATAGTAATAATAAAAAGAAAAAGAAATAAAATCATTGTATATATTATAGTAAATTTTTCATTGAATTAATAATATATTCCTCTTCGTCTGCTATACGTATTAAATATCACATTGAAAAAAATATTCATTTTAAATTGAAAAGTTTTCATTGTTTTGCCTTATATAAAAAATTATAAGGAAAAGAATAAGTCTTCAAACTAATAATTACGCTATGAATTATTTTATATTTTTTATCCACTTAACAATTTTTTAATTTTTATAATCAATCTCAATGTGAAGTTAAACAAGAAATTATCGATTTTAATCTTGAGTCAATAGTTTATTATCGATCAAAATTAAAACAATGGCTCAAATTATGGAAAAGTAAATCAGTTCGTTATTTTATGGTTAACAGTAAAATACTACATTTACTTAAAAATACACTATTACCCTGTTAAGAACGTAATTTTTCATATAAACAATAATGTTTGACACAAAATTAATATATTTTAGGTTACAAAATTTACTTCTAGATAGAACAATATTTTCAGAGGAACGGACCATCAAAAAAAAAAATTATTTATTCAAACAATTTTATCCAATTATTTTTGTTGAATTTTGATTATAAATCATGTAACTTGAAAGGGACTTTAACTAAGATTATAACTTCGAACTCAAAGAGTTCTATTATTGTAACAATCAATTGTACTAAAAAAAGCTATTCAGTAACAAATAAAAATAAAAACATTTTGTGGTTTATATGACTCAATGTATTAATGTTTGGTATTCAATAAGTACCTAGCCTAAAGTTATTAAATTTATCAAATTTTTTTGTGAGAAAAGTGCTAAAAAATTACTATTTTGAAATTTCCAAAACATTTAAAAAATTTATTTTCATTTATTTTTTTGTTAAAGAATAGTAATAAAATCTGTTTTAAACTTAGTCAAAACTATAAGAATTATTAAAAAAAAAGTAACGCAATATATTCGCTGAATCTAAATTTATTTAAGATATCAGAACATGGTAAGACATTCTGAATAAATAGACCATTTAAATGGAATTAATTCAATCCTTAAAATAAATGAAATACTTGATAACTAAACCGTGACCAGGTTCATAACTGATATGTATCTATACAGTTGAGATATCATTACTATAGTTAATGTCTCAAATTAAGATTATGCATATGTAAAACAACTTTTAATTAATATTAAAGTGCATTAAATATTTAATAAATGATTCAGTAACCTGATCACCATACAGAAACTTTAGAAGGTCGCTTAAAAAGGTCTATTATGTTTGAATGTTTAGTTTACATAACATTTGTGACAAAACGTGTTGATTTTTATGTTTATATTACTTGCATCAACAATGTGTCATGTTTTCATTTAAGTTAAGTTTTTTGGAATGCTAGTTTAAAATCAATGTTTATACTGACTTCAAAAATGATTAGAAAAGAAGTTTTTTAAAATTATTAGTCTATAATGATTTAGTATTAAAAAAAAATTTATTATCACCAACTCAACTACAATAAACATGTTAGTCTGATATCTATATTAAAAATTTACTACTTGGAATCTCCCACTTTCTTCGCAACTGAACACAGTAATCGTGTTAACTGTTCATTTTCATTTTTTTTAATATTTTATCTTATTAGCAATTATATATCCAAGAACTGGAGTTAAATTCAACTTGATTTTCAGGAGTGTCTTTTGAAGGCACCTAAAAAAAAGGTTATCAATATGTCATGGTATCAATTAATAAATAATATAAGTGACAAATATTATTAGTTTTTCTTACACTATTAGAGTTAAATCAAACATTTTTTTTATTGATTCCAAATAAAGTACTTATCTCAAAAAATAAATATTTATATTTAACTTTGTAAAAATTAGTTCTATTAAAATATATCACAAAAATTAGGTCTAATATTTTTAATGATTAATTAGTATACAATTTCTATACAACTATTTGTTACTATTAGTATAAAATAAATAGTTTCATTTTAAAAACTTTTTCTAAAAAATAGTTGTAAAAAATAACACACTACTTTTAGAAAAGTACGTACGTCATAAGCTATTATAAAAAAATCGACGACCTTAACACTGAATTCAACGCAGCCTTAAGTAGGTCTGCTACTATGGTACTACATTTTTCTGGATAAGTGGGGCAGCCGCTAAACCACATAGCGCGGTCATTGTATTGTATTTACATTCGACGTGCTTAGTTTTTACTAAAATAATTGAAAAATCTTGTTGTCCGTTTTATAGCCTGCTTCCTTTCGTATGGTCTAAAATTTTACTATATTTTTGGCTTAGTTATAATATAATATTGATACTACTATCTCAATAACGAATTAACAACAGCATAATAACGAGATATTATTTTTCTTTCAAAAATAATTAAATTTGATGTTAAAAAATATTTTTTGTTAAAAACATTTTGTAATACACATTAATCACGATATTTATTTCGGTAATATATATATATAAAGTATATTTATACAAAAACCGAAAGTTTTTTATTAAAATTTTATCTTTGTTTTCGTGTTATTAATTTTTACTTATTCAGCTTCAAATAAAAACCGAATTTATCTAAGATTGAGCCTTTAAAATCAATGATTTTTGATGGCATTGTACCGTTTGTCCTTTCTATAATACAAACCTGAAGGATATTCTGATAAAACATCATACGTCTAAAACCTAAAAAGAAATTTCTGATAAATTTTCAATATTTCAGTGATGAGGAATTTTATAAGGTCAAAGGGCAATCGTTATTTGATTTTTAACTCACTATTTTATTACAGTTGAAGTTTATAAATGACATATTTGATGATTCAGTGTTTATCAAGTAAGAGTTTATTAACCTGTCATAATTATAAATATTATAGTTACACCTAAACAAAACTCATTATCAACGGACAACTTATGATGACTTTGAAACAAAAATGTTCATTCATATAGGACTCATGTGGTGTTTACGTTAAGTCTAGCGGAGTTTAAATTTTATCTATCCATAATTATAGTGCAACTTAAATCATGTAAGGTACAATCAATTTTATGTCTTACTTATGGTTAAAAGATTTTTCTTAAAACTTCGACAAAATATTACTTAACATTTTTATTAAATCTAATCTGTATAAATATTAATAATTGAATATAAATTAAGTAATTTTGAGCAAGATGTGACATTTTATTTATGGCATGGGAACATGTTAAACCATTTGATTATCATTTGAAAATACGAGATGGTAAAATATTAAGAAAGTTTAAGTATAAAAAATTTTATTACATTCTATTGAACTGATATAGAAAAAATGAAAACAACAAGCATCATAAGTACCCAAACATGTTTTAGGTATTCCAAAAGTAATCACAGGTTATGACTTTTATTATGAATCGTTCATACTCACTCATTAGTATCGTAAGAGGGGGTCATTGCCGCATGTTGGTTCCTAACGGAACGTACCATCTCCAATAACTTAAGCCCAAGTGTATACACAGCCAGAGGCTGACGAAGTGAAATGAAAAACCTAGTATGACCAATTCATCTGTTATTGTTGTGCGGATAGTGTCGTCCGGATACTAGACAGAACACATGATTTTTTATTTGAGGGTGTTAAAAATTTTTTTTTATTCTTAAGTGATGTTATTTTTCCTTAACGTCACGTAAAATATTTTTTTTTTTTTAAGTGTTCGACAATACTAAACAAGGATCTCATTAAAATTATCACTTGTAAGTAATAAAAAATATACATATATTGCAGTTTAAATATATTTTATTTATACTTAATTAAATCTATAAAATTACTTCCTCGTGAATCTATGACATTAAAATAAATTTTGGTAATTTTTAAAATAGAAAATTAATAATAAATTAATAACTCATTTCATTTCTAAAATTGATTAATTTTATTCTACTATATTATATTATTTTCAAGATGAAAAATTAGTAAAATTAAACTAATTAAATGTAATTTCTTACAACAAATCGCCCAATTAAATAAATATTTGATTTAAATTTTAACCTATAGTATAATTAATATCAACTGGGTTACTATATAAAATAAAAAAAATATTTTAACTGTTAGTAAGAGTAGACGTACATATAGTTATGTATGTATAGATGTAAGACATTTTTCTACATTCCTACGTATTTGTTTAAAATTAAATGGTGTCGCCAAATCTAAGGGTTGGCTGAATCGTTAGATTAATAATTGTTTAAATTTCATATTTAAATTTTTTACGTTGATATCTCAAACTTAAGGTTTATATTTGAACACTGCGAGCTTACAAAAGAACCCGGATCATACTAGTTGACTAATTGAGGACAGGAGAAATTATTTTTAACCGTAAACTTCGATGTTTAGTATATAAACATAACTTTCTCGGAATTGCTAACACATAATTGTAACAAAATGACTGGAACCGGTGTTCGCTAAATAACGTATATAATAATTACACTTGTAGTCATCCGAGTGCACACACAATACTACCACATTAATAAATTAGCTCTTGAATAGATCCTGTGCTCTTTTTTTTATAGTAGAAAATATACTCTCATAAACTGGTTTTTAAATAGTTATTAGATTTTTTTCAGCTATAAGGGTGAGTATGTAAATAAGTGCTTGTTTAAATGTTAAGTAGGTTGTTGGCATTTTATTGTAGAAAATTTATCTTCAAGATACTTTCATTGTTCATTTTAGACAACTAGTTGCTACTTACATATTGGACACATATCAGCGTAGGTACCACTTTTCGTTTTACCATCAGCCGTTCAAAACTAATTCTCCTGTTTCTGTGTAAAAAGTTATTTATGGCTTCAAAAAACTTTTAGTGTAACGTTAACATTTCTTAATGTTCTGAACTTGAATTACAGTATTTTTATTTTATTGCTCCGGTTGGCCAGAAATAGGTATGCTACGATTCATTTGTATGAAAGTCGTATACAACAACTTTGTATTTGATATTACGGTACCTAAAATCAATTAAAAATATCTAAAGGTTTTTACATAAATCAATAAATCTATTACTCTTGGGTTAATTTAATAATTTTCAAATTGAGTACTAGTAATATCAATAAAACACATATTTCTACAGTACCTGAGATAAATGATTATATTTTCGAATTATCCTGCGAAAAAAATTTCTTTGATAATATAGTTATATTAAAATGGTATTGAGAAAACATAATCAAAGTTAATTGGTTAAGTTTCAAAATAATAAATGTTCAAAATATTACACCTAAACATCGAGTAAGTATTTAGGTTCCTAAAACTTAATAATATGCCATAAATATTATCTTGAAAACTTATAGAGTATTTTCAAAATATTCAAAAAACCTATTTATTTATTTAATTTTTTCGAGAAATACATACTTATTTTAGTAATACATATTTTAAACGTTTTTAGAATAAAATGTATCTATTATTTCTTGGTATAATTAAGTATTAAAAAATATTTTTCCATTGTTAGTTTTACAAAAATGGTATTTTTTTCTTACTCCTAAAAAGTTGTGAAAAATCGAGTTGCGTAATATTTTTATGCAAATGACGATATGCTTTTAGATATGAATTATTTAACTGTATATTTGTTTCTTATTAAACTAAGTTTTTTCATAGAAAAAAAATTAAAATAAGGAAAATTATAAAAATATATATTTTATAAAAATGACTAAATATGTTCTAAAATGTTAAAATTAGAATAAATAACCTTTTAAAACCAATTTAAATTCAATATATTTAATAATAAATTTATTATTAATTCAGTAATTGACAAAACATCAACGCTTTTTAGTTTTCCTTGTTGATATTATTTTTTTTTCTGTTGAGACTCATTAAGTTTCTAAATATATGTAAGAATCAGCTTGCTAGTAATAAAAAAATTATAGTATAATTATTTCAAACATAAATAATAAATTAATAATATTGTATTATTATGGTTTAACAAAAAACAAAATATCTAATTTTTATATATAATGAAAACGATTGATAGAAGTAAAACAAATTGTATCAAAAAATTAACTAACATAATAATGTGTTATAAATATTCTCTGCGTTATAATTTCATATTTAAACTATAATTATTCTCTAAACCATAATTATCCAATTATATTATTTAAAGTATCCAACCTTTATTTATTAAAATATAAACTCTGAAAGAATGAGTAAGGAAATTTAAAAATAATTATTTTTTATTAATCAAATGATATGGTCAAGTAAAATCGTTTGAATTTAAACAGCATTAATTTTAATTTACACAAAATAGAAAATATTTCCATCATATTTTTCATTAAAAATGAAAATAATCAGGTCATTTACTTAAATAATTATTATAAAAATTTATTATTCGAACGCACGATTTGAATACCAAATCTAACTGTTAAAATCTCGAGTCATGCGAGTGATGATCTACTTTTGATGAATTGAGTATAGTTACTTGTATTTTTAATAGGGCAAACCATTTACAGTACCAAATTGAGGATAGGTCAACTGTCCTTGAGCCTGTGTTTATAGTTTGAATTTTTTTTTGCTTATCACTTTTTTCTAATATCTCTTTTTGAAACTAATACACTCTAACTTAAGCATCGTAAAAGGTCCATCGCTAATTATTTTAAACTTACTATTCCTAATTTATTATTTAGCGGGCTTTAGAAGTTTTTATTAACGAATTTTTTTCTAAATTTACTATCATAGACAAAAAATTGGTCCAAAATGGCCGAAAATTTACTAGCTAATCAATCCAACATTCAATTGTTTTTCAAAAATAAATCTGTATTCATCACTGGTGGAACTGGTTTTTTGGGAAAATTAATAATCAACAAATTAATAAGATCATGTCCTCAACTAAAATCCATATATATGCTTGTAAGAGGCAAAAAAGGAAAGAGCGCTCAAGAAAGATTAGAGGCTATGTTTGTTTTACCGGTAATTTAATAATTATTCCTTAAATGAGCTTACTGAATTTTTAAATCTTAAATAACTTTTATTTTTAATTATAGATCTTTAAAGATATCGATCCAATTAAGTTGAAGAAAATATTCGCAATAAGCGGAGACTGTAGTCAGCCAAATTTTGGTATGTCTAGTGACGACATGAATATTCTAATCAAAGAAGTCAATGTGATATTCCATAGCGCTGCCACAGTACGATTCGATGAACGTCTTGACATTGCTATTGGTATAAATATAATAGGTGCAAGAGAAATGATCAAATTAGCTAGAAAAATAGAAAATCTCGAAGTATGTATAATTTTAAAAGTTATTCTCAATTTATTAATTCTATGCCCAATTATTCAACTAATCAAAATATAAGATTTTATTTAAATATTTAAAATTGTATTTTTCAGTCATATGTGCATGTATCTACAGCTTTCTCCAACTGTTATAGAAAACAAATAGATGAGCGATTTTATAATTTACCGTACAGCTATGAAAAACTTTTACAATTGTACAAGACAAAAAGTTCAAATATACTTGAAAAAATGAAACCTATGTAAGTTAAAATAACGAATAATAGTTACATTAATTTCTAAATTTTCAAAATTAGTTTTTGAATTAAAATATTATTAAAAAAAATTGCTGAAATTATGAGGTTTGATATTTAACAAGGAAAAAAAATTAATTCTTATATTAGCTTTGGTTAAAAACGCGAAAAATTTAAGACATCGTGACTAAAAGTCAGATTAGAATGGGTACCTTTTTTTTCAAATTCGTCAAACATAATAGTATTATATACATGTATTTAAAACGATATACATAAAACTTTAGAAATATTATTGTTGATAATATTACTTTGTGTTAAATTAAATAATTACAGGTACTAGTGCGATAATTGATACGATTTCTTATTTTTAAAACCTACTTTTATATAGCATTTTAAACGATAAAATTATGTTTCACGAATTTATACAAAAATCAGACAATCTGGTAATTTGCGTCCAGTTATAAAAAAGAAACTAATTTAGTTTGCTATAATTTTATGTAAAACAAATTTGCTGTTGTACTCTTCCTGAAAAGTTTTTAATTATCTGATTATCTAAATTCTGATCTGATAGTCAGATTATCTTATCTTTGCGTCATTGTCTTAAATTATTTAATTATATTTTTAATTATTATTAAAAAATTAATTTCAATTAATACAATTAAAAAAATTCTTGAATTTTAGAGTTAAAAAAGTTTTATTTAAATAAATAAAAATAAAATGCAAAGATTAAGTAAAATTTGACGTAAAGTTATGAACTCTGTAACACTTGTGTGGCAACATAAGAATAAATTTAAAAAAAAATACATTTTGATATTTTTATTATGATTTCTTTATGTATTTTTCTCTATTATACAAAATATCTATTATTTCAAAACGAGATTCAAACAGATAGAACATATTTAAATCGAATTTTAGTAATTAATAAATTAATTCAACATTTTATTTAATGTTAACCTTTATATATTCAAGAATTATTGTACAAAACATTGTAATCAATGTAAACATATTTCGGGAATAATGATAGATGGAATTGTTATTTTAGTCTTTTAGGTCCTTTTCCTAACACTTACGTTATGACTAAAGCCGCTGCTGAACAATTGATCAAAAGCGAAGCCAGTGACCTGCCCATTTCTGTATTCAGACCAGCAATTGGTGAGTCATGTTTATGTTTTATCTATTCATATGTATAAGTAACACTTCTTAAACGATATTTCCTTTTGTTTATGCACAACAGTTATTGCCACGGCCAGCGAACCCTTACCGGGCTGGATCGATAATTTATACGGACCAACAGGCATCGTCACTGGAGTAATGACAGGAATCATAAAGACACTTCCATGTGAAATGGATTTCCGCACAGACTTAGTTCCAGCCGATTTGACGGTTAATGCTCTCATTGCTGCTGCATATGACACCAACGTCAGGTAGCCTTAAAGAAATTACACGATTAATCAAAATAATTAAAGAATAATGGATTTATTCATCTTTAAATTAATAACTATTTATTTTGATTTAAATTTTATTCTACCCGTATAGTTTGCTTTAGTAATTTATTTTAATGTTTACAAATTATAGTTAGTAGCGGATAGGCTCTATTTTGGATTAAGTTTTGATTTTCTACTTTTTTTAAATTAGCTTTTCCCACGCTATACGCCAAATGAAAACACTTAATTTTATGTACACCCCTTTCTTTTGAACATTAGTTATCACCATCATTGTCGCAAGCTCGTTTTCGTAGTATGGCTTTTACTGTCAAATTATTCAGTTGATATCTTGGAACGCATTTGGATTACTAAGTGTTAATCTGTAAACTATGACTTTGGCAAATGCGCCAAAAAGGGCGAGTTCTCTTAGTTGGTTGTTGCAATAAACGTTAGTTATAAAAACAAATCCTATAATATCACAATGGCTACTGATATAAAATTGTCAATTATAATATAAAAATTAATTTTGGATAAACAAATATTGCTCGTATTTCGAAAGACAAACATTTAACTCAATTTTTGTAAATTTTAGATTTACAGCCGAACAGAAGCCAACAGACAAGTTTGAAACTGAAATATATAATTTCGTTTCTTCGGCGGATAACCCGCTAACATGGGAAATGTTTGCCGACACACTAATGACCCACATAGCTGAGCGACCGACGGTCAAGGCCATGTGGTATCCGACGTTAATAACTCATTCATCTGTTATTCTGCATAAACTGACCGTGCTCGTTTTACATTTTTTGCCTGCTTTCTTATTGGACTTGGTTTTTATTGCTACGGGGAAAAAACTTAGGTAACAAATAAATCTAAATAAACAATTAAAAATTAATAGTTGTATCTTATTTTAGAATGGTAGACCAATATAAAAAAATTGAGAAGTTCACTGATATATTGGTGTACTTTTCTACGAAGGAATGGAATTTCAACAACATGAATGTGAAAAAATTGTTGGGACGATTAAGTGAAACTGATAAAGCGTTATACCCATTTGACCTAAAACAGCTGAAATGGAATGATTACTTACACACTTACCATGAAGGAATTCTCAAATTTTTACTAAATGAAGGTCCAGAAAAATTACCAGCGGCTAAGAAACGTCTTAAGGGGTATGAATCTACAATTGTATTTCATAGATAACAATAATAATAATAATAATAGCTACTATAAATTAGCCAATTATTATATAACGGTGTAGTTATATATCGATTAACTACGATTATGAACAATACCTAGTATATATTATTTTGGGTGTGATTATTACTTTAATAACCAAAATCATGTATTCACCAGTAATTTATTTCTGTAAATAATTAGTAAAATATTAATGTTTAGTTCATGTTTTTATAATTAATAAATCTATTTTTAACTAATTAATGTTATTTATGTTTTTTTTAGATTGTACATTTGTCATTTAATTTTCAAGGGTGCCGCTTATATAGGCTTCATCATGTTGGCGTGGACAATAGTGAAAAACATTTTCTTAGTATAAACTAAAAATTTATAAACATGAAATTAAAAAACTAAAATATGGCTAAATATTTTCAGAGAAGTTCTTAAATTTATTTTAATCATTAAAATATATTTTAAGTTGCTTTGAAACAAATCAAACAAAAATATTCTTATGAGTTAATGTAAATTTTTTATTTATATATATAGCATATTATTGTAAAGAAATGTATAATATTTAGTTGTAAATTATTTAATAGAACCGACATAAATTTAGGATGTTCCTACATTAATGAACTTTAATCTTGAAGTGTTAATATATTTAATTGTATCATACATGTTATGATTTATAAAAAAATTCTAAGTCTGTTGGATTTTTTTATCATTAATATTTACTTGATATTGTACAAGTAATACTGAAATGAAATATTCAATCGGGTACTTAACTTGTGCTTAATTATAATAAAAAATATTTAAAAAATTATGAACATATAGTGGTTAGATTTTGAACAATCTTGTCGTTATCGAAACGTTTTTATAGCAATAATTATGATTTTATTAAATTAGACTTTGTGCGTTTATAAAGTTTATCTTAGTCATAACGAGTACATCAATGATAAATTGATATTCATTTTTGTTTTTCTTAATTCTAACAAATGTATAATAATTAGGATGTTAAATTTAGATGGCATGGAGGGATTATTCCCCCAAAAATTAAAAAAGTTCCTGTTGTATTGCATATATCTATGATAAATATCTAAAATACAATTGAATCGGTGAGTGGAAGAACAGTACTAGTCCAAAAAGTAAAATTTGAAATAATCAAGTTTTTAAGTTAAAAAATTCTGTTTACAGTAACTTATAAACTTTAGAAGCCAGGAAATTTTGTAGCTGTTTTTACAAAGTTCCTAATAGCTTGTTATTACAATCATTGGTCATAAAAAAAATTTTTTTTATTTTAAAACAATTTAAAAATATCATCGGACAAGTACTGTTTTTCTGATCAATTATGTTTTTGTTTATAATTTCCCTGATAACTTCTTTTAAATTAAAATAAAAATAATATAAAATAGTAGGAATAGTTAAAACATAATAGTAACACTTTATTGTTTAGTAACTTAAGCTTTTTTAACTTCATTTGGGCTTTTTCTTGCTTGCCCTTCGTGATACACGTAACAGTGCCCCGTATTTTCTTTTAAATCATGAATTCCAAAGGTATTTACCCACAGTTGACGATAATAAAATACGTCTTGAACAGGTATATTAGGTAAAGGAAGGTTTTGCATAAAATCGAAACATATTGCTGCCACACTAGGATTTTCCTTACATAGATTCTCAACTTCTTTAAGTTTATTATAAAACTTATTGGCACGTTTTTTGTGGATTAAATACTGCGCTGCTGCTACTTTCTTTGCATTATTNGCTACTCTCTTTGCATTATCATTTAAGTTTTTATCCCGGATTCTTGATCCCAAGTTCTCACACTCTGAACATACGTCCACTTAAGGTCGACGAAAGCTGAAGTTATAATTTTCTTGAAAAAACTTTAGGTAGTACTCATATTTTATTTTATTTTCAAGATCTGGGTGCTTTTTAATAAACAATCTGTGCATTTCCTTAGTATTTAAGGTACAAGGCAAATATCGTAAAGGTTTAAAAGAATAATGAGACGTTTCCAGCGGAAATGATTCAATGTGTTCCTTCATCTTTACAATGAACTCGTCTTTTATCTTAGACGGTCGATTGTTGTGCTTTCCACGTCCATCTTTAGGTGATATACCAAATAACAAAATACTTGTTAATCTTTGCACTTGAATATGTAATATAGCATGCAAGCTCATAAAAGCCTGTTAGCAAACAGATATGCGTAATTCGTTCTTGTTGACAAAGTAAGCAAAATTACTCGCCCTTGGTTTTGCATTTGCTTCACCAATCTCAGACCTTTGGCGGCGTCTAATCACAGATTTTGTTTCGATCAGCCCGAGTAAAAAAGTATCAAATTCATTTTTCGGTTTTCCATCATATAAATTATGAATTTTTTTTTTTTTCGTCATTGGAAAACGTATTTATACATTTACGTCTGCAAACGCAATTAGGACCAGTAATTTTAGAAGTAACTAGATTACCTGATACTGAAGTATAAGAAGCTCCATTTTGACGAGCGATCTTAATTTTTTGACGTTTCCATGTTTGAGGATAAACTTTGCGTTTCTTTCCTATCTTTGGTGTTTCATTTTCTTCACCTGACGTAGTGTCAGAGTCAGTCATTTTTATTTCACAAAAACGTTTAAACAAAAAAACAAAACAAAATATGTACTTATATAAAATATTATTAATATTGCAAAAAATTATTAATGTAAGCACACATTCACACCACAACAATAACGATAACCATAGAGATAAATAAATGATAATAAAAACACTGTTTTTCCACTCATCAAAATAATAAATATACCTGTAGCAAGTAAAAAAAGGTTGAACTAGTAATATTTTTACACTCAATACTTAGATGAGTTTATTCGTAAAAAAAAACGAAATATCGAATTTTGGACTAGTACTGTTCTTCCACTCACCGATTCAATTATTATATGGATTATAGATGATAATAATACTAAAACTAATTATTTGTTAAAATCTTTTTTCTAAATTAATTTTTTCTTAATAACTACACTAAAGAAATAAATGATTAATAAAGTGACAACTCTAATAAAAATAGTTGGAATATCTAAATAAATGATTGGGTAACCAAATATTCAGTCATTCCAACTGTCCTAATTGCAATTGTCATTATATAAACCGTTTATATTGTAACTGCAATTTTTTTCCGTGTATATTAAACTCTTTAAAAATATATATATATGTAAGTACTTTACTAACAAATTATTAAATATAGATGCTCTAATTCAAATGTTACTTTAAGTTTTCTTAAAATATGACGTGAAAAAATGAGCACTGGCAGAAATCAGTGGCCTATCCAGAATTTTTTTTTTAAGTGAGGAAGGTATTATTTTATAGTTTTTTTTTGTTCTACGTTATTAACCACCCAAATATTAATGAAAAAAAAACAGTGCGTGTTACGAGTACGCGCAGATGAAGTAACTCTTCGTTATGAAGATATCGCGTGAAAATTGCATCTATTGTGGTTCTTTAAAATTGTTTTATACACAATGGTAATTATTTGAAATTAAATTATTTAATAAATTTTAAATAAAATTACGTTAATTTTCGAAAATGCAGTGATAAATTTTAAAATGGCTCATTAAAAATATATGCTTATTCAGAAAAACTGAAATAACACCCTATAATTTATGCAAAATTTAGAATTATTATATTTTCCTCAAATATCTAAAATTTTAAAAAAACATAAAAAATAACTAAGTTTTCAAGACAATTAATTAAAATGTATACTAGCTGATAGTATGTTTTGAATAACTTGATAAAATGTATAAATCTGTATAATTCCGGGCATTACTTTTCACTGAAACATCTTTGGAACGTAGACAAGATTTCATTTGGGAGTGACTTAAAGAAAAATGTTTGCTCTTAATGCAATAATATAACGTTTAACCCTGAAAGAATTATGGAACTTTTAAAAGCTATAGAGTGGTTATAAAAAGGTAATGTACAATTATTATTATTATTATTTACTTACAAAGATAGATATTCAATTTGAAGAAAAAAAAATTTAAAAATGAAATAAAGGTTGCTATCTAGTTTTACAATAAATATTGCTATTTACTCTACGATTATATTGGTATCTTAATCAATTTATATCAACTACCATGGTTACTTAAATGTTATATGATAAGAGCATATCACAGCTGCTGTAAAAAGATGATCGTATCATTACACTGAGCAGTGTTGCAAATCGGAGATTTTTAGATCATGTTTTCTGTAGGATGTGAAATTTTTTATTTCAATGTCTCCCCACCTTACGGCACTCTATAGTGGACTGTAATCCGTAGTTATAATCGTACCAGTTTTGTGAGTCATGATTATGCGTGTTGTCTGGGTGCGTAACTGTTAGTATCCTTTACTCGCTATCATCACTTTTGATTAATTTTTTATTAAATTTTTTGTTATCCGTTTATAATTCTAGTGATTAAAATTTGTTAATAATTTGTTGATCAGATATTGATAATGTGATATAGTTTCATACCGTCCGTCATTATTCAATAGAGTGATTACTGAGTGCTGTACGTGTAAAATATGTTAAACTCACTTTTTGTACGTGATGGATTTTCTTTATAAATAAATGTTATAAAGATGTCCCTTGAATCAATAAGCTAGTAAAAGAATATAATGGAACGTTTGGCTGTTCACTTGCTGTTGGGATTGTTTTCAATCTGGGTTAGATCTTCGGTTGCATTTCCACTAGGAGGTGATAAGAACATAAAATATCTTGATTTTTTTACTATGCATTTTATAACAAACTATTTATATTATACTAAATTGTTACCATTATAAACATGAAACGTAATTAATTTACAAATATGTCATAAATTTATTCATAGTTTGTCAAAACATTTATACACCAAAATAAAAAATATCGAATTTCTTCTTGTATCTGAAATTTTACAAGAAATTGCGTTAATTTGCATAATATTTCTTAAACATTGTACAATGTTAAAGTATATTTTTACTTTTTACCAATTTCAAAAGAGACTTTTGAAAAGATAAAATACTAATTTTTGAAGTACTGTGATAACTAACAAAAAAAAAAATATATTGACATATAAAGGATACACCAAAAAAACCAGATAGATTCATATATTTCAAAATTGAGAATTATGTGAGAATATATTCTATGTATTTTTTAAGCTGCAGAAATAGTGGAATAATTGAGTTATTTGAAAGTAACAACCCTCAAAAGATGTACTCTTAAAAACACGACGTTTTTAAAATTAAAATATTGTGTTCCTCAATTTTCAAAAGTTTATTTACCTTGTTTTCCATGTACTCTTCATATATTTCCAATATCTTATTTATTTTTATGTTATACTATGTAAGAAAATGGCTACTATTTATATTACTTGTTTAAAATAACATATATTTTAAATATTTATCATCATAATTCTGAAGCTAAATACATATATTATTATTATTATTATTATTAAAAAACAATTTGGATAAAATAATAATTAATTTTATTTAAAACTAGTTTAAAATTTATGAGTTAAGGATATACTTAATATTATTTAACAATATTGAAAAATTTCTTAAAATATTTATTAAGGGAGTGCCTAGAGTGTTATTTTGTCTGAAACTTAGACCAATAGCGGTTAAAATTATTAAATTAGACTAAGTAGACAAAAATAAAACTATTGATTATTTCATACATTTTATATCATAATAGTTATTTAAAGTATATACCAAGTTTCATATTTAAAGCTAAAAATCCTATCAAAAAGTTTAAAGAATGAAAGAAATTTAATTTAGTTATGCAAATACAAATTATTATATTTAGACTTGTTATTTATTTACTTTTACATTAAATCATAAATTTGTGTACCCATTGTATCTCCTTGGACAAAACTTTACCTACCCTGAACTCTGGTATATTCTTACCTGATTCTTTAAATTTTATTTTTGTCCCGTCTTATTTACTACTCACACAGCAATTTATTAAAGTCATCATTAGAAAAATATTATGACGCAATGACACTTTCAAATTGGCCTATTGCCATAAATTGTGTATCATGTTGAAAACTTGAGAACATGAGAACTAATGTCACTAAGTCTATTTTTTACTCTAATTAACTCATTATTATTGGTAGTACATACATTTTACTCCAAATTTTTAAGTTAAAATTATTGAATATAAATTAAATTATGACACCATTTTAATGTATACTAAGAAAAGTTTCCTACTGGAAAAAATTAATTCTATAAAAAATTCTCCTAAGAAAAAGTTCTATGCTTAATTTTAACACATTGTATTATTATTTAACACTAAAATAGAATTATTAGTGTATCAAGGAATTTAAAAAAAAAAAAAATTAGCGCCCTTTTATGAGTGATTTTTATCTAAAATTTTAGTTTAGCATGGCTATAGGGACTTAGCCTATTTTAACACTTTAAAATATGCTGCTGATTAAAATGGTACTAAAATATTTAGTTTATATATTATTGACAGGTAACTTATATTTTCTGTAGCATTTATTTTTTTTTGCTATAAAAATGCTGTATAACGCTGATCAAGCCTGACTACCTTAAAATTTTCATCAAAATATTTAAATATATAGATATAATATATCAAATAGAATTCAATGAACTAACCTTGACCATTACATTAGTGTCCATGACCAGATCTTTACTTTAAAAACGTTCCTTGAAAAAAAAAATTTTTTTTTTACATGAATGTTGTAAAGTTTCATAATTAATAATAATAAGCTTTGTTAATGTCTATGTTAAACAACAACTATAACCATACTCTTCAATTAATAATAATTATGTTAATAGAAAATTTTTTTAGTATGTGTTATGTTATGGCCAAGTTTGTTTACAAAATATCTGTTGAATTTTCACCTGATCAAATACCATGTATTTTTATTTACAATTTTATTTATGCTAATATTTAGTAGTTTGTATTTTAAAAGTGCATTCAACCAATTTTATATGTATCGCTTTGACGTTCTAGAACAAAAAAGCATATTACTAATATTCTTAATTTTTAGAAGACAAAATTTAAATGTTTTTTTCTCATTTTAACTATTTAAAAAAAATTATTAAAATATTATTTCTATTATTACTAGTATTAAAATTATCTCATATATACATTTTAAAGTAATTTAAATAATGGTTATTATAAAATAATAATTGAAAAATTTTAATTTTAGTTGATTAATGGTAGTGTTTTTCTAAGTTAAATTTATACCCTCAATTTTATAAAAACAAAAATTAAGCTTAGCAAATTTAAGCTATATTTATCATTTAGAAGTCTTTTAGGATTACAACAAATAAGAAGTATTATTTATGAGTTTTATTAGTTACAAGATATAATATTTGTTCTTTATTTTTTTTTTCAGATCTTGAACATAATAAAAATTCAGCTTGGTCTAGTTCTAATGTAATACTAGAAGCATCAGTAGTAGCTGTCTTATTTACAATTTGTATTATTGTATTTCTTGTTGGTTGTTTAGATTGTTGCCGTAACAATCGATTTAGTTTTAAGGTAAATTATTTTATTTATAACTAAATTATAATTTTTGAACTATTATTTTACACTCTAATTGTATTAAGGTAATTAGTATAAAAAATAACATTTGAGATTTTTATATGCTATTTTCTTAGACTTTACCCTAATTTTATAATATCGTCAATAATTACTTATTTTTTTTATATTACTATATACTTTATTATATAACTAATTGGGGTAGTGGAGATATAAAATTTGCTAACTAAAATGTTTTTTATACAGACTTCAAAAATTGATTTGCTTATTAATAATTTTTGAAAAATTAGTACAATTGCAATTTTTTTAATTTAAAATATTTAAATTACATATATATATATATTTATAAATGTATTATAGTATGATTTTAAAAAAAAAGTTTTTAAATCTAGTCACAAATAGGTCTATATTTACTATATACTATAAGCTCTTTATTTTAAGATTGATTCATCATAATTTTTAGGATGCTAAAAATAATGATTCTTATAAAATATATGCATTTAAATTTATTAAAAATAAATATTTTTCTATAACTTCACTTATTTTGAAAATCATACAATTGAAAATCTCATAAAACGTTTTTATATATTAAGAAAGATTTTTAAAAATGAGATGGAGTTAGCTGAACACTTAAAGTTTAGAGTATTTTTATGAGCTATTAATAATAGTTAATATATAAAATAAAAATTAATTTCTTTATTTTATCTTATCATGGTCTATCATACTGTCATTACCTAATATTAAAAATATTTTTAATTAATTATATGATTTAGGGGGATTAAGAGGGAATTTAAAAAAAATGGGAAGGCTTATTCCCAAAATGAATGGCTGAATTTTTTTAGGGACACTGTAAAATATGCACCTGAACGAGTTTACTATGCCACTGTGTAAAATAAAGAGCAACTGATTTTTGGTTAGATATTTTCTCAAAAACTATTAAAAAAATTTTATTTGAGTAAAGAAAAATATTTTTTTGTTTATAAGACTACAATAATATTTGGTCAAAATTTTTGTTTTTGGGTTAAAAAAACCTTAAATTTAATTTTTTTAAATGGAAATCCCAATTTTGCAGTGTAATATAATAAAATAATTAGAATTTTTTAAGGGATGACCATTCATTTGTTACAAGCATTCTAATTCATATAGTAGGGATGTTGCGTGCGTAGGTACAGTCATGTTGGTATATTATATGTACACTCTACCGTGCTACTAATAATGCTCATTTTTTTTCTGCGAGGCTCATAGTCATCTATTAGTATAACATTTTTGAGGATGCTGGTTGTATTTTTTCTTTCTCTAAAAAATACTATTCACGTATATGACAACACACATAATTTTTTTAATTTGTTGGATAACTATATTGTTAACTGAGTGAGCTTAGCTCCTTGTTGAGCTTAGAGCATAGTCTCCATAAAAGTGAGGTTCCCTAACCAAAGTATCCTGTTATAACTATGTTAATATGAATACATTGAAATTATGCAAAATTGTATTTTACTAACAAATACATTATGATCTTTGTATAGTTAAAAAAAAATTATTAAACCGGTACCAANGTGTAATATAATAAAATAATTAGAATTTTTTAAGGGATGACCATTCATTTGTTACAAGCATTCTTTTCGTCTTATTATCAATAAACAACATTAATATGTCTATTTGTGGACACGCATTTATCATATTTGATTATTCATGACGTTCGTGTGTTATTACAATTTATTAATATATATTTTTACACATTAAATTATTAATTATATTATTTTAATTGTATAAATTTCATTATGTCTTATTAAAATTGAACTAATTTGATTCATAGAGGTGGTCCTTAGGGAATAAGGGAGTTGTTTTACCCTCTCAAACCAAAATTTCGTCTCAAATATTTTGTACTAATTCAATAAATATATTACTTTTTCTAGAGTTTTCAAAAAAAAAAAAAGTCTCAAATAAGAAAAAAAATTCTTAAAGAAATAAATCGCCATAAAAATTTAGTATTTTTTGATTCAAAATAACAAATATTGCATAGACGTAATTTCAAAAAAAAAATTGGAGGGTCTTATTATATACACTATAAAATATCTTTTTATGTAATGAAATAATAAACTTATTTAGAAAACAATAGAATTATTCGATCTCGATATTCATACAATATCTGATGAACCAAAATATCCTAAATCCAAAATATTCTGGATATCCAAATTATGTTCAATTGTATTAAACAAGGAAAAGATTATTTTTAAAAATATTTATTATTATTATTTTTTTTTTTTTTCATAAAATTAGGAAAAGTAAAGTACATTTTTTAGTTTATGTAAAATTATATTAGTAAAAATATTTCATGTGTCAATAAAAATAGCATGAAATTACACTCTTAAAAAGTTTTTTTGAGATAGACTTAGATACAATAAGGTCTATAGTCGTTTCCTTAAATAAATTAACAGAATTAATCGTGTGTATGCAAGTATTATTAGATTCTGACTACAGTATCAACTATAAATATCTAATGTGTGTTCTATTTATTAAATAAGCAGTTATTTTCAAACATATAAAACGAGTGTTAACGCTTAATTGAGTGATTATTTGAGACACTTATATTATATTTTGTGGCAAACCACAAGAATGCGTTGGCAGTAAAAAATACATTATCTCTATGAATACATTATATATTATTGATTGATTTTTTTATTTTAGAAGTAAGAAATTAAAAAAATGTGATTAATACTTCTACTTATATTGATTGTATTTTTATCACTAAATAAACATAAAAAAAAATTTATTTGATTCGTTTCAAACCTTGACTTTTTATTATTTAATTAAAAAGAGTATATAAAAACTTAATTTCATATATATAAAAGTCAAAGTAGAATTAACTGGATTTTTCGTAGTACTGTTCTTATGAAAATTATTATTTGATTATAGCATGACAATGTATACTTCCACGATACTACAATACACAATTTGATAAAAATCAAATTACTCGACGTTAAATAATTACTACTGCTCTTCTTAAAAGTCGTACAGAGTTAATCAATTTATTTTTAATGTTTTACTGTATTCCACGAAGGTTCCATAGCATAGATAAAAAATCTAATACTGTTTTTATTCAAAAAATAAATGGTTACTATTTTCTATTTAAAATGATTTTTTAGCGCATATTTTACGATAAAAAAACCAAATATTATCTTAACCAATTATTTGAATTACTTGTATTAACTCTAACATATAGTTCGTCTGTTACCTATCAAAATTAAATAACTCGTTATTTTTTGTCTTTATATCAATGGATAATCAAATGCGAGTGGATTATCAATTTGAAAAAATATAAAACAAGCCCTTATATCCAAAAATTATATAATTCTATAATACAATTTGGAAATAACCAAATTATTCAATGTGAAGGCCAGCCATTATCAAGACTTTTATTACATATTTAATGGAAAACAAAGTTTTAAAAAAAACTGTAAAATAATATTACTAAATTACACGTTTTTATTTAATATAAAACTTTAATTATACAGTGCAATTTATTTTACATTTAAAAAGCGCATTGTTTTAATAAATAAAAAATTATTTTAGCTGTACAATTTTATCATGTGATTAGCAACAAATAAGTATTTTTTATTAAATAATATATACTTTCATTAATTAAATAGATGCACCATATAGGGTAATAAAATATATAAATCTTTAAAAAAATTATTTTATCAAATGTAAATGATGCAAAAATAATTATTCAATGTCAAGATGTGTGAATTGACTGACATTAGGGCGACAATTTTCTTTCAATAAATTAATTAAATATAAAGCTGATAATAGTTATAATCAAATATAACTTCGAAGTGAATAATATATTTTTTTAATATTAGATAAGATTGTTATTTGATACGTTTTATCTAAATTATTTTTTTTCAAGAGGAAAATCGTAATTTCTTTGAATTGTGCTTTTTGTGAGAAAAAAAATGTTTACGCATGTTTTATATACTTCTTCACTTTTTAAAAAGTGTACTTAATAGGATGTCGCATTTCATAGAGAACTTAAAATTTAAAAAAATAATATTTATCAATTTTATCAACTTTTACACGTTACTTTTGATTTCTGTAAAACATTTCAACTAAGATGCGCTTATTTTTCAGTAGAAATAAGATTTGCTAGAAATAATTTTCATTATCGTAACGAAATGAATGTTTCTCATTGTGTATGTATGTCCCCTATTCTCGATTTTTATAGTATCAAGTATGACCAATGTTAGGGGCGCCATTGTGAAGAACATTGACCTCGTAAACAATCATAATACTACTAATCATTGTCATAAGAGGTTTATTCCTTAATGTGAACATCTTTTGGTTACTATTCCATGCAATATTAGTTTTCTTACAATAACCAAACAATTGATTATTATCGATTTACAACTATGATATATATAGCAATGTATTGATTTACACGTCATCCAATATTTAAAGTAATGATTATGATAGCATTAAAATAACTTAATGTAAATTTTAAGTAAGCGCTGGTTTAGCTTATATTTTCAGGAGAGAATTCTATGTAGGGTAAAACACACAATTTAATAACTTTTTTATACAACAAATTGAAATGTCATTTGTCAACACTAGTATACAATTTATAAAGGATTTATAATAATATTAATAAAAATTGTAAAAAGGTATTGATAAATCTATTAATATAAATAATTTTCTTATCATATATAATACCTAAAAAATATTATAAAATGATTTTTGATAGCAAACATTCATAATATGTAAATAATTTTATTATTATTATTTTTTTTTGTGCTACCTTCCAATCAGGGTCAACAATTATCTCAGGTTTGAATGTTTAATTGATTTAATTTTATTGAAATAATGAAAATAACACAAATTTTTTATTTTTGTAGGAATTTCAGAATGAGGTATTATCTTCCAGAGATCTTAATTCTCCTGGATTGGCATTTATCAATCCGATAAGTAATCTCCGTAATAATGAACTCTCACGGTCATGTTCTACTATTATTAATATTGAACAACTATCCCCTTCAATTAAATATCAATCTTTATTAAAAGAATGGCTAAGTATGCAAGCATTCACTCATACAGTTGCAAACATTAATTATTATTTAAACATTTATATTAAGTTGTAATTTTTATATTTTCAGATGATCCATTATCAAATTTCCCCAGATCTAGATTACAATTTCATCATGAATTGGGTTCTGGGTGGTTTGGAAGGGTAAATAGAAATCAATTTTTTAATACTATATATTAACTTTGATTGTATACTTTTAAAATCAAGGTGGTTGGTGGTGAAGCAGTGGCTTTAAACAATGGAGAAAATACTAAAGTTGTTGTACGTATCCTCAAAGATGATGCTACGGATACAGAACGTCTCAAATTTCTTCAAGAAGCCACTCCCCATAAGTTTAATGGGAAGAATGTCAACCACTTGGTTTTAAATCTAATTGCAGCTTGTATAAAAATGGATCCATTACTGTTGATTTTTGAATCAAGTCCATGGGTATTTGTGTCTTAATTAAATAAAACTGTTCATTATTTAAAATTATTTTTTACATTTTTTATAATGTATAATTTTTTTTAGGGTGACTTAAAATCTTGGCTACGAAAACATGCCGACACTAATGAATATGAAACACAATTAGAAAGAAAACTTAAAATGTCTGTTCAAGTAATAAATGGTCTATTGCAATATTTAAAAAGTGGTGTTGTACATACGTAAGCATTTTTTAAATAATTATAAAAATATTTTATTCATACATTTGTTGTGTTTGTTTTTGAAATACAACATTTTTTTTGTGTATAGATATTGATGATAAAGTGCATAGATTTGATAAGTGTAAATTCTAAATAAAACAAAGTGAAATAAATATAGGAAAAAAACTTTTTAACACCAATAATATACATTTAACTCAGAAATTTAATATCATTTCATTTTAAATTTATTATATCTAAAAAATTTGATTAACAATAATCCTCATGCCAATAAAAAATAGAAATGATTCTTTTACATTTTATAAGTAAAAATAATCTCATAATTGCATTTAACATATTTTTTCACTTGATTATCAATATTATTTATGAAAATGAATCAGGTATTATTAGGCAATGTTGAATAATGAATTAATGTTAGGAAATTTTAACTTAGTATCATAAAAACATAATAAATACACAAAAAATTTTTTCCGGTTAAATAAATTTTGTTGTTTCAAATGATTGTGTTTGTTTCCATTGAATATATACTTTATTGTGTTTTAATCAAGGTGCAGAAAAATAGATTTTTTTTAATTTTAAACTAAACTACAGTTTTTAATTGATTTTTGTTTAAATATAAAAAAATTGCATGTTTTTTAATAGTATTTAAAAAATGTCTGTAAAGTTCAAAAAAAAAATTTTGTAACATTTTGCCCATTTTCACAACTTGTTATTCTTTTACAATTTTTTAGTGGGTAATTAAAAAAAAATATTTTAACTATTGTTTAATGATTATTTTTAGTCATTGTAAGGTTTTTTTTTTTTGACATTTTTGTAATTTTTAGAAGTCATTTTTAAGGTTTTCAACTTCGAAGTACTAGTATTGTATAATATCCCCAATTAATTATAAATGATTTCTTATACCAGATATAACTAACTGAGTCATAAAATTATAATATTTTTAAATGTTTTTAAAATGATTTAACAAAAAAACATATATACATTTTATTTAAACAAATTGTTTCAAATGCATTATGTTTAATTTCAGTTGTTATGAATGAGATTCAAATAATATTTTAAAAATAAAATGTTTAAAGCTCCAAACTCAGATTTTTATTGTATTTATTATCAAAATAAATTTTTTAAATAATCAATAAATAACTAATTTAAATTATTATTTTTAGTGATGTAGCAGCTCGTAATTTTTTAGTTTTTCCTGATAATATTGTAAAAATTGGTGATTATGGTATCAGTACTCAAACATATAAAGAAGATTATTATGTTACTGAAGAAGGTGTTGCATTACCCATTAGATGGAGTGCTCCAGAAACTTTAATAGTGTCAGAACCAGTAATTGAAACAAAAAAAGTAATTAATTATTTTAGAAATAGTTGTCCTAGGCTGTTTTATGATCCTTTTAAAAATTATATTGAAAATTTCAAATAGAACTGCTTGCAAAAAATTTATAATGTAAATTCATAAAAATATAACTTAATGACTTTTGAAAAAAAAATTTTAGTTCAAAATAAAAGTTTTTTAAACTATGTTAAATGCTTTAAAAAAAAATTTTATTTTTCCTTATTATAAAATAAAAAAATTTATTTTTAGGTAACTGTTGAAGGAAATGTTTGGAGTGCAGGTGTTGTAATCTGGGAGATTATGGAAAACGGTGCACAGCCATATAGCTCACTCAGTGATTTAGCTGTTCTTTCAGCAGTATTTATTGAATCAACACCATTATTACTTCCTCCAATTTCTAAACATCATAAACTTTCCCAACAAATGTAATTCAGAATCATTTATTAATTTTTTTTTTTAACTTATTAATTATTTTTTATTCTGTCACAGATATCAAATTATGCTGCGATGTTGGAGTTCAGATGTTACAAAAAGACCAACATTTCCAGAAATTATCTCTTCTTTAGAAGAAACATATAGTATGCTTAAAGCAAATTTTGACACTAGCCCAGTGAATTCTAAAGAATTTTTTAAAAGTGATAGTGATTCAGGAATGAGTTCAGTTAATAATTCAAAATTTCGTGATATTCAATTGTTTACAGATGATACAAGTGATATTAGCTCTCAACCATCTGCATCTAGTGGAATTGATGTATTTAACCCATCAAAAAAATCTCCATCTTTGGAAATTTTACATGGATCATTAGAAGATTTATCTGCCTCGAATGATCCATGGATAAAAAATGATGACAGCATCAAATATATGGAAGGTATAAATAATGCAATTCGAGAATTAGATGAAGCTTTAGCAGGTGAGCCAATATCATCTGATGAATGTACTCCTCCAATTGTAAATTTTAAACTTGGCCCTATAGCCAACAATAAAATTGGTAAACCATTATTTGGAAATACATTTAATGATGATTCATATATTGGAAGGCGTTCAGGACATGACTCATCAGGTACTGATACAGAAGATGAACAGTGGAGATTAAGAATTGAAAGAGGAGAATTTTCTGAAAAAGTTAAACAAAAATCCAAAAGTGTTGCTGATTTAATGGTTCTAACTCATATTGATGCTAGTGAAAGTAGTGAAAGTGATACTCCTTTAAACTCATTTTCCAGACAAAATAGTTTCAAGTATCATCGTTTAGCTGTTCCTCTACAGAATAGCTTTATTTATACAAGTGATAGTGATTTGAGAAATGCTCAAGATGATCATGAGTTTCAAAGTACTTTAAAAAAATTTCAAACTGCATTGAAAAACAGGGATGATGATTCACTTTCTTATTTATCTCTACAAATTGATAGTAGTATGAAAGTTAAAAAGGATTTAAAAACCTTCGGTACCAATCCTTTTTTAGAGATTGAAGCCTCGGAAAATAATAAAAATAAAAATCCTTTCATTTTGCCAAGTACAAACCATTGTTCAACAATTTCCTGTAATTCCTCTGTTCTTTTAGGACCATGTGAGAATTTTACAATAGACTATTTAAAAGGTGTAACATCCTCTCTATCAGAAAATAGCAATGAAAATAATGAAGATAGATCAATTTTTGAAAATGTCAGTTTTACATTTAATCCATTTGAATCAATAAAATGGGACTCAAGTATTTTTGGCTTAAATAAATCATATCGAGTTGAATCTTTTGATAATGAAAATAAATGTCAATTTAAAGAAAACAATGTAGAACATGTTGTAAAAGAACTAAATTATAATACGTTAGAGTTTGATTCTGGGCATACATCTGATTACACTAATTGTGAAGATATATCTAGTAAAGATACTTTAGATAGTAAAACCTTAAGTATACAAAAATTACCACTTGATTCAAATGAATTGTATAATTATTACAATAATACAGTAGTTTTAAAAAATGGTTCAGATGATTCAGGTTGTGAAATTGAACAAATAACAAGTGAAGATGGTAGTACAGAATTTCTTAATGATAAATCTGAAGACGAAGATGATAATGAGATTACAGTAGTCAAAGCCCATGATTTATATGATATAAGCAAAACACAAAAAATAGAAAAAAATGTAGACATAAATTACAAAAATTGTGAAACTAAAGGTCAATATGAAATTGATGATATAATTGAAGGGTTATCAGAATCATGGTACCTCCATCCTCAACAAAAAAATAATTCAGGTTGGCTACCAGATAATTTAAGCCTAGATGATTGTATTGATGAAGAACAACATTTATCATTAAATGAAGAATATGCTGAAGCAATTAGACAAGAATTGCGGGGAAAAGTAAATCAGAATGATAATGATTCTAGAAATTTAAATAACTCGATAGAAGAAAATGATAAACAGTCTGATAATGAAGATCGAACAAACATGATAATACATTATAATGCTTATCCTCCACCCTTGTCAACAATCTTTGAAGAAGATGAAAATGAAGGTCAAGATATTGTTGATTGTTTTTCTGATAATCCAAGCCCTTCATTTTTGTTAACAGAAACATCAACTGATGGGTTAGTTATAAGTCGAGAAAAATTAGTAGACTCTTCAATCGAAGATGAAATTCATGATGATGTTTTAATAGTGGATACTGTTACAAATGAAGCAATTATTTTAGATACTGATGTATCAGAAAAACAAGAAGTAAAAGTATTAAATGAAACATATACAATTGAAGAGTTGTACTCTGACACTGATGATTTTCTAGAAAATTTAGAATCTGACACAGTTGCAACTTATTCTTCTGACTCTTTATCACCTGGTTCAACTAGTAAAACTATTCCAGCTATATCATTTTCTTCTTCTGACTCTGCAGAATTATCTGATCAATTTATTTCACCTACTTATAGTGATAGTGATTTACCTAAAGACAAACAGAGTAATGCTTTAAAAAGTATAAATGAATTGCTGCAGTCATCAACTAAAATAATATCTAATAAGCTTTTAGATGAAAAAAAATATACAGAAAATTCAAATTGGTTAAACAATTTTTTAAATTTTGAAAATAACTTAGCTCACTCTACTTCACTGCCAGATTCTATAAACTTAGATAGATGTAATTGGCCTTCAGTTAATGAATTAACCTTAACTTATATTTCAGAACCTAATTTAACAACTGTAGATTTAATTAATGAAGCTGATTCCTGGAAGAGTGTTGATACAACACCTATTATGAATTTGAAAAATCATAGAGATTTTAAAGTATCATTAGTAAATGAAAAGTGTGATGAAAAATTATTTACAGAGTCTTTGAATATTTCGTCACCTGATGTTGGTATATTAAATAACGTGCAGAGTTTATTTAATAATACAGAAGATAAGAATGAACTTTACAATGAAAAAACTTTGGTTAAGTCTATTGAAGATATAAGTGATGAAGATGATGAAGTAGAATTTGTTCCATCTATCTGGAATAGCACTGCCACTCCTACTAAAACTTCATTGCGAAAATCTAACCATCAATCTGTAAGTTTTACACCAAAACATTATTAAGTAATGGTAATTTTTAATATGTATATGATTTTATACTATTACAGAAACCTAAAAAAACTGTTTCATTTAAACAGCAAAACTATCATTGTGTTTATGAATATCCTCGCGATGAAAGTGAAGTTTTTGATATAGAAACAGGACCAATTTGGGAGTGTGCCCCTAATTATTTTGATTTGTCTACATTTAATGGTAAGAACGATGTAGATGAATATCAAAACATAACTTGCTAAATTAATGTTGTTGACCAGAATACTATGAAAAAAATGTTAATGGTGTTGTTTTATACTACCTTTAAATAAATACTGTAAAGAAATTATTCAGTAATGAAAATTTGTCAGTATTTTCTGTTTAATGATGTATTGAATATAATAAAGTATTTATGTAAAATGTTTAAGATTGGGGATCTGGTCCATCTAAAACAGATGCAACTAGTCCAATGTTCATAGATGAAGAAGAAACTAATTCAGTACTTCCATTAAATTTAGAAAACAGCTTAAATACAAGTGAATAAAATAACAATAATGAAAAATTTGAAATTATAAAAATAAAATTTCTTGGTTATTTTTAGGTATATTTGATGATGATTTTTACATAAGTAGTTCAAATCAACCCATTGAAACAAATCAGAGCCAATTTTTCCCTGGTCAAAATTCAAATGATATTGAAGATACATTTGAACCAAAAGCATCTGATTTAAAACCTCTAAAACCAAAATGCATTTGTATGATATATAATTATTTTTTATTGTATAGAACTTATTTCACATTTTTTTTTCTTTTTTAGCTTCTAAATTGTCAGATGAAGATGAAAATGAACCTATTTCACTTATGACAGAGGTTACTCTTGATGAAGAATTAGCTAAAGCTGAAATAGATAACATGGATATTAAAGCACTGAGTAAAATTTTTTCACTACAAATGAATAATACTACTAACATAACAGAATGTAAAAAGGATAAAGATGAATCAATTTCCCCTTCACTAGGTGAACTTTGTCATACAAAACAATGGTTAACATTAAATCTCAATAATACTATATCTGTACTATCAACAAATAATTCAGAAAAAAATGATAGAGTTGATATTACTGATTCATAGTTTATAAAAAAAATAAATTCTATTTAAAATAAAATAAGTTATATATATTGAAATATTTTCAATATAATTAAATATTTGGTTCTATCAAAAGTACCACTGAAAACCTTTTTTTATGGCATGTATGCCATAATTACACACGGTCAAATTAATTTGTGCATCACATATTATTTCAGTATATAATTAATTTTGTGTCATTAGAAGCATTAACTTCAATGAAAATTACCTATTATTTAAATATTCTGTTTGACGTTCCTTGATTTTTAATTTGTTTGTATAGGGAAATAATTTGTACATCTTATCAATATGTCAAATATTTTAGTTAGTAACATATTTAAAAATAGTTTTTAACTAAATAAAAAAATGTAAATACTGTTTTTATTAATATAATACAAAAGGGAAGGGTTGGTATGTTTTATTCACCGTCCATGTATACTGTAAAATGTAACAAAGTTCCCTTAATAATAATTAATTTCAAAACAAACGTAAAACGAAAATATTATGATAGTAATGTTTAATGTTTATGTCAAATTTAATATGTATATTAAAAGCTCAGAAAAAGTATACTTAGAAAAATAATTTTTGTAAAATAATTTGACAATGTAAATATTAATTATTTGTAGTTTTTACTGTTATTATCATTTTGTATTTTGTAATGATTGTTTATTATGTTTATAATTTTTTTCCTCTACTAGTGAATCTTAATGTGCTCCATTTTGAGAAATATTATATTTCTCTTGTTTTATTAAAATTGTTTTTAATTGGGCACATGTTATATTTAACGGTGTATCTCCATGACGTACACTGAGCGCAATTATCAGACTATCAGTATTAGATTTTCTCATTGTTGTTTCTATTTTATATTATATTCTAATAAATAAATAAATCATTAAAATCATGTGATTTTGTTTTTACCTTATTTTAATAAATTGTAGTGTAATTTTAAGAGTATTTTAACTGAAGTTATAATTTATAATTTTGAGTTTTATCGTTTTAACACTTAATTTTTATATATAATAGGTAATTTATTCTATAATCAATTATGCTAACTAGGTAGGTTACCATAGCCCTCCTAGTTTAACCTATCCTAAAATGTATAGTTATGCAAATATATAATTTTTGTAATAAAGAGATAAACTATTTGCTTTAAAAAGTCTCATATTGACCTTCTTAAACTGTAATAAACTGAACAGTATACAATTAAAAAAATTTTATAGCACCTCTATGTTTTTCAGACTTATTATATAATGAGTAATAAATTAAAATTCTAGAAATACTTCGTTATATTAAATAAAAATATATGATGTTATTAATAAACTTAAATTAGTTTTTGTCCCACAATATTTAGAAATATATTTAAAGCTACAGTAATGGAAAATAGTATAACAAAATGAATACCTCAATTTAATAGAGAATTGAGGATGCTGCTAGCTTTTAAATAAGCAAGACGTAATAATAAAACTTTCAGTCTATATGTTAATAAAAAATAGACAAAAATATTGTTTATATTAATCAATATCATAAAATCAGTTAATGAGTTACATTAAATTATTCGACTCAAAATTAACTTTAAAAGAAACCTTATGAATATTTGATGTAAAAATTTTTTTTTTAATTTTCAAAATTAATTTATTAAAAATATATATTTTAAATATAATACACCTGAAAATTAATTATTGAAACTTAATGAAATACAATTAAAATAGTTTTCAACTGTAATTTTTATGTATAATTAAGGTACCACAAAAAATGTTAACAAAAACAAATAACATGAAATTGTAAAATGTATAACAAAATACTATTCTCAGATAAATAATTGAATTTTTAATAAAATACAACAAATAAATTTTTTTTTTTTTTGGAGATAGATATATATATATATATATATACTATAAAATTGTTGAAGTTATTTTTTGGTAACTATAAAAATCTGATAAACAAAAATGTAAAAAAATAAATAAATAAGTATATAGGTCAGAGAATTAATTATGAACAGTATAATCTATATAATGTAAATTGTACATACAATTTAGCTGACCATAAATAAAAATTACAAAATACAGTTTGTAAGAGTTCTACCAAATTTTATTGTGATTCAAAAGGGGGAACAATTTGAGAATCTTTTTGTTTATTTTCAATTTCATCTTTTTGTGCTTTTTTCTCATATATAATTTCTGTAGATCGAACTACACCTGCTTCTAAATCCAACCAACGACCACGCGTTGCATTTTTTGTTGGTGGTGACCACCAATTAACTAAGCTACCAAATACAGGAACATGTCTTAATATTCCTTCTTGCCAAATTTTATCTTCACTTTCTTTTTTTAAATCTACTGTAGCTGTTTCAATTCCTACCAAAAATTTAAAATGATATTCATCAATATTTTTAACATAAAATAAGGAATAAAACCTTTTTTAACTAGTTCAGCCATTGAGTCAATATATTTAGAGGACTCTTCTTCTTTAATTCCAGTACTTTGCACTAATGATAAAAGCTCTGCAACATCTGTGTCTGCTGTTACCATACCAAATCTTACACAAGCTAATCCATCGCTTCCTTCACCTAAAACAAAAAAATTTAAGGCTAAATCACTGAAATACAAATTGAATTTTTATTTAATTTCATTACCTAAGGAAAAAGCAGCATCAATTGATCTGAGTTGTTGAACAATTCGAATGTTTAATCTATTTAAGTCTTGTTTTGCTTGATCTGTAGCTAATTGTTGGTCAGATATTTGCCATTGTTGTGGAATATATCTTACAGCTCCAAGTCCAGCCCAGTCATCTACTTCAACAAACTCAAGAGATGGTAATTCAGTTATTAGATTCATAAGCTTATCTTTATGATCAACAGTAGCTTGTAAAATTTCCTTTAAAAAAATAGATAAAACGTTAAGAAATATTTAGAACGGAAGAAACTAAAAATAAATAAATAAATGCAGTACTAAGAATTTAAATTATCATTTTTTTGGAAGATTTAATTATTACAAATTTTTTTTTAAAAAATTAATTAACAACAGTTCAATTCAATTCAAATTCAACTCAAATCAATTTACATAGAAAAATTATTTTTCCAAATTAAAATTTAATTATCATAGAATCAATTTTTTGTTACTTCATTTTTTTAATCGAAGCTTCCTTGATTACTTGACTATTATTTTACTAAAGTTTAATTTTTTTAAATATTAAAATAATACTTTATAAATTTATCAGATTACTATGAGCTTCATATTTCAAGTACTGAAATACTTTTAATTTTATAATCTTGAAATGACAAATTGTTAAGATTTTTTAAATCAATTATTCCTAAATTAAGGAGGGAATTTTAGTATATTTCATATTATATCGATATATAAATTATAGGTAACATTCTAGCGCTGTTCTACATTTATAGCTTTGATTACTTTCCTTGGAGAGCCCTAAAAGTAAGTCTAATGTGGTTAAATTAGATGACTCTCCATTACATATTAACATTTTATAGTTGTATATACATGTAATTGTAAATTTTACAATAATAAATGTAATGACAATACATGTGTGTAGTCATTATAAAAATAAAAAGTATCAATCAACCATAGTTTTTATTTATCAGTGTAAAATACAATTGGGGTTCTACTGTAATGATCTTATTTTATATTTAAAGAAATAGAAATTATTATATACTGTAATTAATAAATTATTAAAATCCTTACAATATGTTGATCTAAACAAATAGAAAATGTTTCCCAATCATCTTCTGTTATCAATGAATTTAAAATTGTAAAGGGAGAAAATGACACAACAACACCAATGTTTTCAATTTCACATAGTTCTAATGGAGCTTCAGGTATTTCTCTTTCTAAAACTTGTCCCAGCTAAAAAATATCAGCAAAATAGTTTATAAATGATAACATTATTTATTTTGTGTTTATAAATATATTATTTTAAAGTAATAAATTTTTTTTCATAATTTTTATTTCTCATTATCTTAAAAGATTTTTTTAAATTGTATACTACTAATGATAAAAATACAAAATTATTTGAAAACTATGTGTATATAACTAGAGTTAAGCATAATTTAAACAAACTAATTTAATAGTTCAATTAGAATGATTAAATGTTTTCATTTATTTTAAGTTTAAAAATTTAAATATGTTTATTTAATAGTTGATTAATCAAAGATAGAAAACAAATATTTTTCTTCTTAAATTTGAATACACCAAATGTAATATAAATTATTGAGAATGTACTATAAATATTATGCTTACCCAGGAATTGAGCTTATCATAATATGATGAGACCTTCACTGTACAATCTTTAGGTGCAAATTGGATGATTAGGCAACTTGATAAGCTATGTAATAATTCCTAAAATAATAATAATAATTAATGATTTTAGAAAATATGAAAATTGTATTTATGTTTACTCAACTGGAAGGTTATCTTTTGATGCAATTATGTTACCAATATTTTCTTCACTTGATTCATCAATATGTCCTTGTATTTCACACTACAATTTTTTTTAACTTTTAATTTAAGTACAACCTTTATAAGAACTAAAAATTAATAATTAGAATAAATTACCAAAATTCTTAAACAATCATATCGACTAACTAAATTATATATGCGATGACAAATCTCAAACTTTTTCTGTATTCTATGTACAAGTGCATCAAGTCCTAAAACCTAATTTTAGAAAAAAATACGATAATATAACAACAGAAAAAAACTTAAATTATTATGTATTATCAAAATTATTTACTTGAAAACAAGTCCATATTGGCAAACTTTTGCTCATATAAATATTTAATATTTCGGTACTACCACTTTGTTTTTCAAATAATGTCTTTTTATAAACTTAAGGAAACTTTATACATGTCGATAATTAATAAAAAGTATTATATACAAAACTATTGGTGTGTAATATAAAATTATACATATTTAAGCATACAAGATTATTAATCAAATTTTCAATAACTAATTTAGTATCATTATTAAAACCTGAAGGCAAAATGATGTACAGAAAATTATACAATAAATAATTTTTAGTTTTCTATTAGATTTCTCATATAAAATATTATAATATAATAAATTCACTTAAATTTTTTATCAGTTTTTTCTTTGATTAAAACCAATACAATGTATGAGTGAATCAATTTTAATTTAAAATAAAGAGCTAATGATGGAAAAAATGTTTTTGAAAATAAAATATTTCAGGTTGAAGTTTATTTAATTAATGATCAGATTAAAGGGATAAAAACTTTCCAGGCTCAGAATTTTTCATTAAAGTATAAACTTTATATGATAACTATGATACAACAACTTCATTTCAATATTGGATCTATCAAGTTTTACAACATCCTGATCAAGGCTTAATTAAATTAAACATTTTTTTATTGATCAAATAGTTGAATATTTTTAGTTAAAAATTCAGTTTTATTAGATAAAAAAAATTTCTTAAAAAATAACATCTTAGATTTAAATCACAACCATGTCTAAAATTATAACATGCTCATGTTCAATTCACATAAAATAATGTTTTGATATGAATGTAATTACATAAACATGTTCTTTCACATTGCTGATAAAAATTAAATCAATATTAAGTGTATTATGATAGTTTTAAAGGATACCACCACAGGTAATCCTGAAATATTGAGCCAAATGCTTGGTGTTAAGGTCATACTGTCAGCCAAAGGAGTACTCTAAAAATATGTACAAATAATTCCAAATAAATTTAATAAAAATATAAATATTTCAATAATTCCAAATAATAGTTCTATAGTTACTAGAGACTTTGAAGATGCTAGTGCAAGACCAGATAAATTATCTCCTGATAAATGTAGCCATACATTGTACTTATTACATAGTTCCTTAAGTTTAGAAATGTCATCCATTTGCCCAGTAACATGAGCTCCTATAAATATATTTTTTTTAATATTTATTATTATAGAGAACGTTTAATACAAAACATAGATTATATACAGTAAAAAATCAGTGAATAATGAACATCAATTAGAGCAATAAAATCATGCTGTAACTGATTTATACTGTATTTTATAAATAATACCAGAGTTTAATTTTAAAACTTTAACAACAATATTTTAAATTAAAATTAATTGTATAATTTCAAAGAATTATTTAATACATTTTTTATGAATATTAAGCATAATAATATTAAATTAAGCAATTAAAACATTAATAAATAGACATTTTATCAACCAAAGGAAATAAGTGCTAGGAAGACAAGTAAAAAGTAAATTATAATTTTCACAAGTATATGTATACAATATTTTAAAATTAAATTAAATATTATTTTACCTGCTCGACCAAATACTATCAAAGGTTTTTTATTGTTTTCCACATCACCTTTGATAATATTTTCAAATTCTTCTACGTCAGCTTTATATGGATATAATGCGTTTGAAACATTTGGAATGATTTGTATGCATTTTTCACTCAGGCCAATCTTCATAAATTTGAAAAAATGTTAATAAATATTCTTACTATTTAAGAGAAAAATACATAAGATAACATATTTAACACTTTCTATGGGAAGAAACAATGTTTTAAGATCCTATGTTTTTTATATTTAATATTTTTCAAAACTAGATAATTGAATTAATAATACATCTATGATTATACATACATACAATTATAAATTTATAAACATTTTTTAATGTATATAAAATTTGGTTTCAAAGAAACTCATGAAATATACTATTTATACAAAGTAAAAATTTAAGATAATCTTACAAAGATATCCTTTGTCTTTATTAAAACAGTATTAAATAATTAATTATATATATAAAGTGTTCAGTAAGTAAGGAAATAGGTTTTTATTGTCCTCATTGTTTATAATAAATGAATTGTTCCTTACTTACTGAACATACTGTATATACAAGAATGAAAATGTGTCATTTTTTAAAAAAATTATATTTAATCATAGTGTATTTTTAGATACAGTTATATAATAACACTGTTTTTATATTTTTATATGATACTATTTTTTAAAACCTAAGAAGTAAATTATGAATTATTAATTATTGATCAAATTGTAGGATTTAAATAAATTTATTTAATAAAAAAAAATGTTTGAAAAAATAACATTTTCAATCAAATAATAATACAAATATTTACTTGTGAAATTGCTCTTTTAATAGTGCCAATCAACACGGGATCCGGTGTGCAATATATTATTGGGTTTGTATGTGACTGGAAATATTCTGGTCCAAATTTACGGTTAAGTGCTAACAATATCACTTTTTCATAACTAAATATCATGTTTTCAGTATAAAAAACACCACAATTCGGGAATCTAAGCAAAATTATACATTTATTTATTACCTATTATGATAATTACATTTTACAACTTTTTTTTTTGTATTTAAACATTATAATAACCTGAATAGATCAGCTAACCAGGCGCTTGTAGATTTATTTATTGGGAGTAAAACATTTACAGTTTGTTCATTTGGCAAACAATGACTAATAAAATAAGTGAGAGAATAAGAAGTCAAACTTAATTTATCCAGTTCTTGTAAAACTGGAAGCAGACACTCTTCAGTTTCATTATTACTTTTGTTTTGGTTCAATATAAGACTCTTTTAACATAAAATTTTCCATTTTAATTCTAATTTTTTACTTAAGTTTAACTATTAAGCAATCTACCTGTAAGGAAGCTAATACATCATTAAAACTTTTAGGACTAAGAGTTATTGATGGTTGTACAAAATTCGAAGTTTGCAAATTTGCATCACTTTTTTCCAAGTTGCTAAGCGTACTCATAAATTGATTATTTAAATCCAAGATAGAAGAATTTGCAACCTTCAATCAAATTATACAAATTTTTATTTAATTATTACTATTATGAATTTAAAATTTACATTACAAACCAATTAATAAACTTACATTAGTCTCCATTAATTGAACAGTAGCTTTTTCTTCAGTAATACCTTGAGTTGACATTATATTATTTAATATAGAAAAGGTTACTTAAACTTCAACGTGTCATATAATATTAAATTCTTTACACTAATTAGATACGAAAACAAGCTACCAAGTAAATTGGGATTTCAAAAAATAATACTTCATTAGATATTAAATTTTTTGATGCGAACTGAGTTAAAATTATAAATGTGGACAAACAATAAGTTCCATTTTTTTTTTTAATTTATATAGTAAATGTTAATAAATTCAAACTTTTTTATTACGTATCAACATTGATAATATTAAAATGATTATAATCACGTATTATCAGTTTTAAATTAAAAATTATTTTATTTTATTTTTATTTTTGAGAAAGTGAGGTACATATTTTATTGCGTTATTGCTTTAATTATTATAATTACAATTTCAATTAATCACTATACAACTTGACTTCAATTATTTATTTAAATGATAAAGTTTAGATTAGGTTAATGTATTTTAAATTTTGACACTTGTCTACTTCCCGTTTCTACATCATTCCATATATTAATATTTTTAAGATTTATTATTTCTTAACCTTTAAATGTAAGTAAATCTAATATCAACATAAAATCTTTTTAAAAATGGGGACTCGTATATACGAGTTTTACATTAAAATCATTTTATAGTAGTTATTTATTAAGGCAATTTGAGCAATAATTTAATGATACACATTCAAAGGTAATGAGGCAAAAAATTTATCCTGATTGTTATGTTGAGTCGATAATATTTTTTGTTTACCTTTTTCAGTGTTGTAAATTGATTATTTTATATTCCAAATATTATAAATAACAGCACTCATTACTGGATATTAATAATACAACAATAATAATACACTAAACTTATTAGCTAATTAGTAAACGAGATCGAATATCTTCCTGTAGATAGGGAATAAGAATACTTCTACGGCCCCTCTTTTTATTTGAACATAAATAATAAACATCAACATGCATTTGACAATATATTTACAAAAAATAAATGTTGTCTCTGTGGATATGGCATAAAAATATTTCAACGGCCCCTCTGACAGTCGTAAAAGGCGACTAATAAGGTTGCATAAAGTCGACAGCCGGCGTAAAATTTTTGTCAAATAGTATGAGGAGTTCTGAACTTCTCATATATACATATATTAGAAATACAAAACTTAGTAATTGAATGCGATATAAAAACTGCTAATGTGAGCGTATATGATGTGAGTGATTGTGTCAAATGGAAGTGTGCCAGACCCCAAGTAGTTGGGATTAAGGCGATAAAAAAGAAGAAGTTAACGAGATGGAATATGCTAGCCTGAAAATATATGAGTTTTATTATATTCTCTTATTAAAGGTCATATAATTTACTACAAGTTAAAATAAAATTTTCCCAACAATTTGTCTAGTATAATCTAAGTGGTCTTGAATTTTACAAACATATCAAATTTGATACTTATTGATGACTAAGGAATAGAGATAATGAGAATTTAAAAATTTGATAAGAATATTTTATTTTATATATTATTTTAATAATATTAATATTTTTTACTTTTTTAACATCAGGTTAAAATTAGTGATTGGCATTTTTGAATATTTTAAACTATCGAATAACTATTCGAATTGTTTTTATACAACCGAATAGAGTGTTTTTAGCATAAACTATCGAATAGTTTAAAAAAATATTCGAATGGGATAGCGAATGGTTTCAAAAAATATTCTATTAGTTCTATCTAAAATTTTATTAAGTACATTTAATTATAATAAGAAGATAATTAACGAATACTTAAAATAAATTCTTATACAATTAATAACATTAAATAGATCTCCATACCCGCCAATTTTGTTTTTTATTAAATGAAAGGTATTTGTGTAAAATTTGGTTTTGATAACTTTCCCCCTTCAGGTACGAATCGCGGGGTTAAAAATTCTCTCAAAAAGGTAATTTTTCAGTTTTTGATTATTATTTTTAAAACTAACACACTTAGCGTAACAATGTATAGAATATAAATTATAGATTTTAATATTTTCTTCTAAAATAGTATTTATAAAAATTTTCTAAAATTATTTTTACTTGCTCCAAAAAATAAAATAAAAAAATTATTTGCTAAAATTCATTTTTTGAATATAAATCATTCTTAATTTTCGAAATAATCATTTTTACAACAAAATGTTTCGTAAAAAAAAATATGTCAAGTTAAATTTTTTTAAACATTGGTCTTATGTAAAATTATAGTCGGATTTATAGTTTTGCTGTTTTAATAACACTAACGATATAAATAGGATTGTTAAAACTGTATATTCAGGGTACTACGATTATGAATAGGATACAATTAATAATAAAAAAAAATAGTGATGGGCATTTTCAAATATTTTAAACAATCGATTAACTATTCGAATTGTGTTTATACCACCGAATATTTTATTTTTATCATAAACTATCAAATATTTTAAAAATTATTCGAATGGAGGTACCGAATAGTTTTAAAAACTATTCGAATACATGTGTAACTGTCGAATATTTTTACTATTCGAATAGTTTTTGAATGACTATCGAATAGTTCCATAGTTACTATTCGATATTTCCCATCACTAGTTAAAATACATTTAAGAATTAGTCTATAACCTGCAGCTCAACTGTGTGCACATAATAATTTGTTATTATACATTGAAATATTTATTATTAGGCAATACTGAATAGCCCGAGTCATTCGTTCATTTTATCATTCAATTAGACTTTCCCTCTAATATAACCATAGACTATATGAAAATATAGATCTTATATCTCATACTAATTAGTAATTACTAACTATTAAATAATAATAAGTAAAATCTTATCATGTAATAATGAAAAATAATAGCCTTAATTTACTATCACGACAGTCTTCATTGATAAAGCAACAATGTCCTATTCATGTTTAAAAAATCTGAGTTTATTCATATATTATTTGTAATTTAGCGCGATTTTGTTATTTAATAAAAGTTTAAAAACTTTCTTTGGTTTTAATATCGTGTAAATATGAAAATACAGACTGATTTAGAATATTAAAGCAATAGTTTGTAATATATTAATGCTCATTTATTCAGAACTATGTTATTTTTTATAGTCATTAAAGTAGTTAACTATCTGAATATAATTAAAATTTAAATGTCACTAATAACATTTATCTTAGTAATTGTTTGAAATTGAATTAAACAGTTAAAGTTATTTAATTATGACTGTACAATTAACGCCTAACTCTATTGAAGTGTGTTTGTATTGAACAAATTAATATCTAAAATTTAATTATTTAATTTATATTTTCAGAAATTATGTTGTGGTATTTCGGTTCAAAATGCTGTTTTGCAGTTGCTAGTAAATTTTAATTTCAAATTTTTAAATCTGTAAATAAGTTTTTTAATTTTTATTTAGGGATATGAAGTGGTGGAGTGTAAAAATAATAAAAAGCTGTATCGGATGGTACTTTCTGATGGTATACATATGAACTCGTATTTTTATTTATCCAGTGGATTATCATTTTTATTAATTGAAAATCAGCTTAAGTATGGAACTATATTTTGTATTGATAAATTTCAATTTGTTAATGGCAAAGATTGTAAAAATCAAAGTCCAAGGTTGGATTTTTAAATTTTAAATCTCGTTTTAATAATAAAATGATTAAATAATTGTTTTTCTATATTTCTGTTAGACAAATAATAGTTGTTCAAAAAATGTCGATTTTGATTCATAGAAATATTATTGGTGATCCTTTACCATTAATAAATGTTGAAATAAAGAATTCTTTTTTAATTAACCTTAATTTAAATGAACATACGCAGAGAAAATTTCAAAATTTTAATGAGTTAGAGAATAATTTGAGATTTGTGAAAGAGTTAAGCAGTGAATATAATGGGTAATATCAATCAATTTTGATTAATCACAAAATAATCTTGTTAAATAAACTTAAATATTATTTAACAAAAATATGTATTACTTAGAAAGTGTAGTCATGTACTTAAATTAAAGACAGTGAAAAAATATTCCATAAATTCATATAGACGCTGTCAAGTTTTAAATTTAAATATGGAAGACTATACTGGTATGATACGAGTCTGTGCATTTAATTCATTAAGTATACATATTAACAATTTACTTCAGGTATGTTTACTTATATTGTTCTATGATTATTTTTAGTTTAATGAAATCTTAATTAATTGAATTTTAGGAAGGTAAAACATATTATATTACAGATACCATATTAAAACGGAACAACTGTCAATATGGATTTGAACTTAAATTACAACCATACTCGGTTATTATTGAATGTCCTGAAAATATGATTTCAGACGTATTGCCATTTAACATTCCTACATTTGAAGTATTATTATCTAATTGTGCAAATACTTTTTGTGGTAATTAATAGTAATATTATTGTAATGTATGTTTATTGATGATTAGTGGTTTTTGTTTTGTAAAACTAGATTTGATTGGAATTTGTATAGAAATTAATAATATAGAAGTTTGCAACATTACTAGTGATAAAATAGAAATTGCGAAACGAGACATAGTATTGATTGATAAGTCTATGAGAACTGTAATTTTAAAATCATATTTATTATAGATATAAAATTAGTTTTATTGTTTATCTTTTTTCTATATAGGTAACTTTAAAGATATGGGGAGAAAATGTTAATAAATTTGAAGGGTTAAATAACTGTAACCCTGTTATATTTGTCAAACAAGCTATACTAAAAGAATTCAACAAAATAAAATATTTTACTACGCAAAAAGCTAGTAATTTATTAATTAATCCTAGCACATTAGTAGCTTTTCAGTTAAAGGAATGGTACAAAAGTTTGAGTTCAATTGAAGACTTATGATATTGAAGTGTAATAAAATATGTAATAAGTAGTAGAATAATTTTTTTTACAATTTAAATTTTTTAAACAATTGTTAAACATGAGTAATGATATTCATTTATGTACCTATCAACTAATTTGTTATAAAATTATTTATGACTTGGTATTATTATATGTTTGGAAACTATTAAAAAAATAAATAAAAGTACATTTATAATTATGTGAACATATAACCGAAATATTTTATTTCATATTCTTACCTATTCAAATATTGACATTGAAAAATAACCCTTTAATTTTATCAATTTGTTATCATTTTTGCGGTCTATTATTTTCTTATCACATAATAAATTGAATGTTATTGCTACTAATTTAATTTATATTTTTATGCAATTAACTTTATTGTTGTTATTATTAAATTATTTTATTATTTAAAATATTATGATGTTGAATACAAATTTGTTTAGTTGTCGAAAATTTACAATATTCTATTGTATCCACCTAACTTATAATATTTAAATTTAAATCTAGATTTTACATAAGATCTTTATACAAAAACAATATTTGTAATATATTTCGAAAAATTTTGAAATGAATTTTTCAATGATTTTAAAAATTAAGAGTCCTAATATTCTAGTCTATATTAGTGCAATTATTTTAATGATATTTAGTTTAGGTATATACAAACAACTAACTCAAGAAACAACTAACAACTGCGAAATGACTTTTATGTTTGAATATCCCCATTTTATTGTAAATCATCAATACCAAACTATCATAATAAAAATATGTTCAACTTATTGGTTAATATTGATAATTTAACTTGTAGGATATTCCAGTGATTATGAATAGAAGTAAGTACAATTTGTATGCTTATACTGAAGGCCAAACGATGGAAAAAATTAAATCAATGAAATTTTATGGTACTCCAGTTATTTTTATACCAGGTCATAGTGGCTCATATAAACAAGGTATAAAAACTTAAAATATCATTTATTATCGAACTTTATTTTTAATATATGTATATTTTTATAGTTCGTTCAATTGCATCAGTGAATATAAGAAAAATGTATCATATACAATCTAATATTAAGTTTGATTTTTTCACTGTTGACTTAAATGAAGAATATTCAGCTGTATTTGGTGGCGTTCTAACACAACAAACAGACTTTGTTTCTAAATGCATTGATAAGATTATACAAATCTATGAAAATGAATATAAACCCACTTCAATAGTTCTTATTGGTCATTCTATGGTAATTTTGGCAGTATTTAACAGATTAATACTAATTACAAAAATACTATACTTTCAGGGTGGAATAATAGCTAAAGGATTATTTATTCAACCAACATTTGACACAAGCCTAGTTGAATTAATAATTACATTAGCTACACCTCATAGACCTCTTTTTTTGGCTGATCATTTCATGGAAACATATTACAATGAGGTAGAAAGTATTTGGGGTAATGGTGTAGATAAGCCAAGGGTTTCATTTCTTTCAAATATTTCACTTTTATCAATTGGAGGTGGCTATAGAGATATAATGGTTTGGCCATGTTTAACCTATACACCTCATGCTGATATAAATACATTGGTATGTAAAATTTCTGGACATAGTACCTATAGACCTATAATAATGATATAATCATATTAAGATTATAATTCAGTAATAATATTTTGTTTGCAAATGCATATTATATGTCTAGCAAAAATATATGTTTTACTAAAAAGTTTTTTAAATTCATTTTTTAATTGATTTTTTTGCATAAATAAATTATATTGAATTAAATTATTATTTACAAGTATTAAATACTTTTAAGATTGAATCAATAATTTTCAATTTATTGATTGATTAAGCATAAAAATTTATCATAGTACAAAAGTTATTTTATTTATTAAAAGTAATACATTATAAAAATTAAATTGTCTCTTAGAGCTTAGCTATTCCTGGTGTTTGGACATCTACAGATCACCAATGTATTTTATGGTGCAAATCATTAGTAAAAGTATTAGTAAGAATTTTATTTGATTCAGCTGATTCAGAATCCACTGATAAAATTTATGAGTGGAGGAATAAAGTTTCTATCTATCATCTAGATAAAGTTTGTATAATGTAAATTTATATATTCTATTGAATAATTTAATTGTTTACAAATAGAGAAGTAATGGAAAATGGTTTCATGATAAACTACATCCTGAAAAAGTGAAATTAAATGAACCAAATGTAATGGAATGGAATGAAACATACAGAGCTCAACGATCTATTATATTATTATCAGGAACACCAAAATCAATTTTTGTTTATGTGCCATTAATGAATAGAAACTTTGGATATGAAATTACAGCTGAAGCCATAAATATTGATAGCCATGATTGGGTCTTCTCTTGCAAATCACAACCTGAAACAAACAAATTTTGGTTTGTTTTTAATTCATGCTTAAAACATAAATATATATTATACTTAATATAAAAATATAAAATGAAATCATTTTTTCATAGTGCAACTGGAAAAAATTGGTCTTCAAATAGTACTATATCAGTTTCAAAGCGTTTAAAAAGAAGACACATAACAATCAAGTTGGAAGATATTTATAAAATTGGTCATTCAAATGTTGTATTTAAAATTAAAAATACTAAAGAGCCAGTAATTATAACATTAAAAATATAAAAATAAAATGATTATTAATAAATTACAATTGATTTTATATCTAGACAGGTTTAAATACTGATTTGTACAAAGTAAGAGATAGAACAAAAATAGTATATTGGCAATTTTGGTTTGGGATGTTATGGGAAAAGGTATTGTGGAATATAGATGTCTTTGGAACTTTACAATATAAATCAATTTTGCGCGGTTGGTCAGATAGTATTTGTTCTGATTGTGTGTATAATGTTTATTTAATACCATATAATTGTTCAAAAAAAAAACACCATGCTGTTACAAAATTTATTGTACCATGGACCCAAGGTATACTACATGGTATTTCAAGGTATTTCTTGTTTAATTTATTATATAATTAATAATAATTGATCTTTAGTTAAAATATTATTATTAGTTTGAAAATAATTTCAAGGGGAATTCAATAAATAAATTACATTATTCCATAATTTTTTATAAAATACTGAAACATAGACATAAACATATTTTACCTAATCATTACCTTGTGTTTTATACTTATTGAAACTCATAAAGTGGGAGTTACCAAAGAAGTGATAATTTTCAGGTGATGCAAATAAAACAGTAATTTTTAACTAGTGTTTTCAAATTGGGTGGACTTTATACTACAGATTTAATTAACTAGTGCATAAATATAAAAATCCAAAAATTTATCTAAAAAATATTTATTTGCCATAGTGTTATGTGTTAAGCTTTGAACAGATAAAAGTAATTTAAGTAGTTCATAGCAACCATCAATTTATATTAATGTACAACTTACTTTTGTTTAACTCATTGATGATGTACAAAATAAAAATTTTCAAATTATTATTTTACATATTGATTTTAATAATGTAGTTATAAATTAAAAAATATCTTTCATTTTCTTTTTTGTATTTGAATACATTCTATCATTCTATTTTTCTATGCTAACATATTTTATGTATTATTCCAGTGATAAATCAAATCAACCTCTTAGAATATCCTTAGAAAATATTCCCGTGTCAAAGAAAATTGAAGAACCATATTTACAGTTTATTTTAGATCCAACATGTAATTATCAAATTAAGTAAGATGTTAATATATTATATATTACAGTTGTATAATAGTTATTAATATGAGTTTATTAGGTTAGAGTTATCATTCTTGGATACAATTGGAACAATAGGATTAAAGTATGGCTTAACATTCCCTTCATATATAGGAACTATAATTTTATTAGTGTTGTCATGCCAGTTTGCACAATTATCCGAAACTAATCATAGTGATTGTTCAATCTTTCATTATTCAACACCATCTGTTTTCAAAATTTTTAAAATTTTAATAACTTCGACTTTCTTAATGACTTGTTTGTAAGAACACTTTATATATATACAACGTTTAACGATATTTTTTGAACATCAATATTGCTTTGATTTCTTTTGGATATTATACTGCAATATTGAAAATATTTTGATACTGAAATATATTGATATTGCAGTACATTAATATTGTAATAAATTAATTATTGGTATTTTTGGTACTATATTATAGGAGTGTCTAAATATTTAAAAAATACCATCATGTGCGTGAAAAATATCCATGTAATATTTATATTAAATATAAAATTCTATTATTGACAAGTCCATTTAAATAAATTTTAATAATATCGCGATATTTACATACCATATAAATAATGCAATGTTACCAAAAAAACTGCCTATATCAAAATTATATTGATATTCAATTATCGTTGTCAATTCTTAATATTTATACTAACTCTTACAATTACTTTATACTAAATAAATTATAATTATAGACATTACCAATGGCCAAGTATTAATCAACCTATTGGTGGTGTTGACTGGCTTGGAAATCCTTTGAAAACTCTGCTATTTTCTTCATTATTGTATTGTGTTACCAACGCATTTATGTTTATTGTGACTGTAGGACTATGGCTTACTATGTTGGTTTGGGGAAAAACTATAAATAACATTGCAGTCGGGTAAAAATCAATAATTTTTTGTTTTTTTCACTGAATGATTTCTATCCCTATTTTACAGAATTTTGGTGAAAACATTTAAAAAATCAGTAACAGTGTCCGATTGGCTACTTTATGGATTAGGAAAATTACCAGTAATCGTTTCAATTATAGCTATTATAATATCTTATAATACTTGTGGAACTGTTGGACTAATTATTTCAGCATTTTTCTACTTTTTTCTGGTATAATACATTTTAAAAACAATTTTTTTAACAATTGAAGAGGTCAGGAATAGAGGTGATAAATAACATCAAAAGTGTAATATTTTTTGAATAAAAACAATGACATTTATTGTAATACCCAGAAGAACACTACAAAAGTAGATATACTCCTAAAAAATTGAAAATTATATTTACTGTTATAGAGATTGATTTTTAACTATAACTTACTCAATATCTTTAAAAATTTAATATAATTTTTTCTTTTTGAAAAATAATTATAACTATAACTTAAAAAAAATTGGTTGTCCTTTCTTCCTTAAATTTTTATGAATTTTTTTATATGGACACATATGTATTTAACCAATGTAATGAATAGTAAATGACAGATTCATCAAAATGCTTAAACTACCTCTACTATTTTTTTTTATCCGTTGACCCCTTCAATTATTATTAAATTGCATATGATTTTTTTTATTAACTTAAATGTTTAAATCATGTTTTAAGATATGCTCAATGGTTGAAGATTATGTAGAACAGATAATTTATTATCCTGTGATATTTATTAAAGACTATTTCATAAAAGGGGTTAAACCAGAATTAAATATAAAATTAACTCCTATTCATTTTAATTTTTCAATGTTTTTGTTATGGACTTTAATTTGTGGTTGCCATCTTCCATGCAGTATAGAATGGGCTAGAAATTATAAGTAAATATTACGTTTTTTTTATTAACTAGTGATTTTAAAATTATTAATAATATTTCATTACAGAAATAGTCCAAGTTTAACCCCTGATCCATCATGGTATTCTTCAGTTATATTAAATATATGTGCTGGTATTATTTGGCAAACAGATATTCCGAAACAAAATTTGTAAGTTAAAGTTACTTATAAAATTATTTATGCTTATAATATTATTTTATTTTTCAGAAAATACTATTCTGAATTAAGTGATTGTTGTTTAATCACTTCAATTACTCTTTTAGTATTTTGTCAAACGGCATTATTTCGAATCGCTCCAATTTTAACTTTAGTATTTTTGATTATTACATTACATCAATTTATTGGCTTATGGATTAGTAAAGCAAATATAGAAGATAACGCCAAAAAAATTAATGATCATGACCATTTAGCACAAGATTAAGTTATATTTTTATAAAATAAAATTATTTTATTAATAGTCTTTAGTGATAATGTATTTGATATCAAATACTTAAATAATTAATTAAACTATTAACAATAACACATTATTCAATGAAATTTAAAAAAAGGATAATTAAGTCACTTTTATTTTACAGCTATGTTTAATTATAAGACTGATTTTTTGTGTGACTGAATGTGTAAAATTTTAAATTATTTCTGTAGTTTTAAAATATTATTTGTAGCCATTTTACCATTAATCTCTTACTATTGTCATTTTAAAAATGTACTATTTTGGTAATCTTTAACTCATCAAAATATTTTTGTTTTAATCTAGTCATTAAAAAATATTGTTATTTGTTTTAAGTTTATATTTGTCTAACATTATTTAATTTTTAATTTTATTTGGTATACATAACAATAATATGTATACTTTTATTTTTATTTTTTTATATTACAAATTAAAATACATGATATATAAGTATTTTTCTAAAATATAAAAGCATACTTTGAGGGATAAATAAAACTTTAAAGTAGCTTGAAAGGGATTTGTTAAAAAAAATGATAATAATCTTTTTAAAATCATACAAAAAATAAAATAACTCCTACATTCTATAAAAAAATTTTACCCTCTCAACCACCACATTAGAGTATATAACAAAAACATTTTTTTTCTCATAATGATCAGGCACGTTAATAGTTGACCTTCATCAATAATGTTAAAAACGACATTATTATTAACACCCCATATTCTGAATATCGTGTAATATATCTATCAAAAGTTTTTTATGGGAAAGAATATTTAAAAAATTTAATAGTATTAGTTTTCAATAAAAACAAAAAAAACAATATATTTATGACATCTATTCTAACATTACATAGCAAATTAATTGTTTTAACCTGATCAAAGTTATCAATCAACATAATAGTATTTACTGACGTGCTCGGTTAAAGCAACTGCATAATGTAATTCATGTAGCCATAATACACGTAATCATTTGTGACAAACGATGAGAACATCAGAAACCCATTTTCTTACTTACTAAACACTTATACAATTCAGTTGAAAACTAATGAAAAAACTATTATAAAGGAAAAATGGCGTCAAGCAATAGTTATCATATTTAAATTTATTACGTATAATGATTTTCGCAAATTAAGGACGGAGAAATTTTAAGATTTATGTCGCCGTAAAAACTGAGGTTGGGTTTGATTGTCCCGTGCTTTTGGTGTCTAGACCGCTCAGAATTTATCGATGGTTATTTTCCGCGGCAGCTTACAGATAAAAACAAATCATAGAGCTGCCGAATAATCTTATTTTAATTACATTCATTATTGTAAATAGCACTCAGAAAATTTGTTTTAAAATTTCGATCTAAAATTAATGAATAATTATTTTATTCTAGTACTTAATTAAATGTTAACACAAATAAAATATTATTAGAGTATTTAAATAAGTAATAACGTATACAATTAATATTATAATAATACACAACAAAACAAAAAATGAATTGAGAAGATTAGACCTATCAATGTTGACTCAAACTTTCGAAGGTAGGAGAAGTTTTTGTTATTTAAATTTGAGTCTATCCAGTAAATTTTAATTAGGTGAGAAAACAATAGTTCTTTTTTGATTTCTTTAAAATTAATTTTTGGTGATTTTTTTTTTAGCCATTAAGTATATATTTTTAAAAATAAGGGTCTATAATAACTATAAAATAAAATATTTTATTTTTAACATATACATTAACATGATACTTTTAGTAATATTTCATATTCCTTCCAATTGAAGTAGACTCAAATCAAACATTTTTAATAAGTACTTTTTAGAATGATTTTAAAATAATTAAAACTAGTTATTCTAAATCAAATTAAAATACTATTAAATATTCAAAACGTATTTATTTGTAAATGCTTATAATCACTAAATCATCGATAATTAAAAGTACATCATAGATGGAATATATTATATTATTTATAAAACAAAATACTTAAAGTGATAATAACATAAAATTTGTAATAATATAAAAAATATTAAAATATAATATAATTTTATCTTAATATCGCCTATTATTTAAAACTCTACTGTTTTTAATTTTTTCTTTTATTGTAATTAATTTTATTAGTTGATATTATCAAAATCTGATTTTACCACATCATCCTTCTACACAAAATATATAGACCTGCACATTTTTTTTTTTACCAGATTTTATTATGTTTAAAGATTTTAAATAAAATAAAAAAAAGCTATTATTACAATTTTTTTACTTATCAAGTTTTTTCACATTTACAGTGATTATATCAATTAAAAGTGATGAAACAAATAATAATTTGTGAATGAAAAAGAAATTTTTTTTAATTAACATTTTATGTAAAAACCATTATTTTACAGATACTCAAACTGTAGCTAAAATATCGATAATAAAGAAAAACTAAGGGCATATTTGGAATTAGCGCCAAAAAACTTATCAGAGACACATTAAAAATACCCGGCACAGTAAGGACATCGCATAGTTGGAACAACTATAGATGATATCTAACAGTTATTAAAATTATTATGATAAAAGACACTTAGATGCAAATCTGTAATGTTTAATTTTTAAAAGAAATTATGGAATTATTCCATAAGCATTATCCACTCCTACTTCTTAAAGTATATACTGATTATAAGTTTTATAATTTTTAAACATAATATATGACTAAATACTTATTATAGTAATTAAATTTAGTATTGTAATTTTATAAAAAATTATTAATATTTTGTACACATTTTGTTAATTATTAAGTTTTGTTTTAAATCATCCCTTATACTTTACAACGGCGTCAACTATATTTTTTCAAATAAAAACATACATATCTAACTAGATAATAAAATTAAAAATTAACCTAATTAAGAAAATAGCTGATCTATAATAGTTTTTAAAATAGTACTTCAGAAGTCAGTAACATTTATAAATATAGAGAGGAAAAAGAATTCGGTAGAGTAATGCGTAATGATAAAAGTAACATAACCCACACAACACAGCCACTATATTTTAAAGTAACTTCCGAAATAATGGGTCAAAAGTTGTCATCGATCAATCATTTTTTATTTTATAAGCTAATAAAATATGTATGTTGTTATTGAAAAAAATAAAGTTGACACTTGACTGTTAAGACTATTAGTTTCGATGCGAAACTGAGAAGGTATTAATTTTACTGTAATGTGTTTTTTTTTTTTTTTATGTCTTTTTACCACTCAATCTCAGCTCTCACTTAACTGATTTTGATGAACAATACGTCAAAAGATCACAAATTATATTTAGTCGAAGAAATCACCCTTAAAAATTGAAAAATAACCATAATGTATCAATTGAACCAGTACAGTAGTTTCAACCAAACTGGTAGGCTATCATCATACTAACCCTAAGTTTGGAAATGGAATAAAAGTATAAACGGTTATTCAAAGTATAACATCAATATTTTTCTGTGTATTCATTACGTTTTCACAAAAAAACTAAAAATAGCGGGTAAACTTGCGATCTGTTGAAGTTTACTCCTAAAACTGAATTTTCATATCCCTATTTCAGAATTCTGGTTGAACAGGTTAGAGACTTCAGCAGTCCTGTCACTTAGGATCTGGATGGGTTCTTTGTGGCAGGCACAACAGAAAGACGTTCTCGTCAACCGCCAACAGTCCAAGGCAGTTTTAGCATCACTGGTAAACCAGGGAATCTGGAAGCCCACATTGTCGGTTAAGCGTGCCCAGATTCATGGTGCCGGGCTCAGTTGGGTTTAGTTTCAATGCATGAGGGACAGATGGGGAGGTGTTCATCTGACATGCGCGCATGACCCTTAATGAGCAGAGGGTCACACTTTACTCCCAGCGAATCTCTGAAATTCACTTTGTGAATTGAGTTAGTAGTGGTGCTCTGCCGTGCACCCTAAATTACGGCTAAAGAGCAGTTTTGGCGGTGGACCTTTGCGAACCCACTCTAGGGTTTTTACTATACTGGGTGAGGAAGGCCCGCGATGTCACTTGTTATAACAAACCATGAACAGGTCGCGCTACTCCTTTCATGTTGTGATAGGTAAGTAGCCTACAGTGCAGACTTCATAAATGGTTAGTGGACTCAAGACTCCCCGCACCTCTGCCTCCGGCAATCGGTTGGACTCCCTGGACGGCAAAGAGTAACTATGACTCTTTTAAGGTAACATAAAAACAATTTAAAAATTAAAAAAATTTGTTCAATTAAAATTACTTTTTTTAGTTTTCAGCAGATCTAAATTTTCAGAATAAATTTCAATAAATATTATGAATTTTAATTTTACTATCGAGTGGATTAAAATAAAACACAGTCATGTATTATTAAGCCCGTACGAACATTTGTTATAATGTAATATCAGATAACCGCATAATATATTTTAAATCACAATTTTGTATGTAATTAATTGGGTTGCATAAAATTAAATAACACTTTATTGTATACAAACAATTTATATACACGAATTAAACATCTTTGTTTAAATTAAATACTGAGTAAAAATAGTTATATTACAATGACTTAAAATAAATTACTGTGTGATACCAAGTATATTAATATTTTGTTAACAAACAAAAATATATTTTTATGATTGTGAAATTAGTTTTTCACATAATAGTAATTTATTTTTGAAAAAACAATGTATAAATATTTTAAACAAAACAATACCTCAACTTTGTTGAGAACTACTACTATAAATAGGCCTCGTGAGTATTACTTCTTCACTACACTGATTTGTAGATGCTGCTAATTGTGTAAGAGTAGGTTTGATAGTAGTATTTGATACTGAAGTGAAAGTAGAGTAATTTGGAGGAGACATATTCATATCTACTTCATCACTTATAGAAAAAGCTCTATTAATGACTCCTCGAAATATTTCTATTTTTCCTGGGCGTAAACTATTGTACTCAGGAGGAGGCTATTAAAACAAATATAAATGTTTACACGTTTTAAAGATCAATAAAAAAATTATTAAGAAAATTATAAAATCAAGGCTGGATAATATCCGGTGGATATTGTCCAGAGATTAATAGAGGAATAGTTGATACATACAATTAATTTTCTTACTTGATTTATATAAATAGGAACTTTTCGGTCTTTTTCGATTTCATCATAACTAGGTGGTCTATTTTGCATTTTTTCCTTAATAAATTCGTTTAAAGAACTATTACTTCCTGCTCTGCTTATTGAATCACAATTACAAAACCCGCAGCTAAAAATGTATTAAAAGAAAATTTGTACTATTTATAATTTAAGCAATATTTCAGCATAAACACATCATGTGTACAGAAAAAAAACTGTAATTTAGTCAACTATATAATTATACTATAAATAAAATATATTGAATAATTAAATAATTATATATAAAAACTATATAATTCATAAATTGAATTAGATATTTTATTTACTTTATTTCGTTAATAATGTTAAATTAGTTGAATCTTTATCGTATTATTTATTTATTTTATTGTTTTTTAATAATTAAAAGATTACTTATATATAAACCTATATTGGAAAGTACGTAGACAGATAATATCTGTGAGGGAACTGTTTGGCCCTTATTTCCCAAAAAAAATTTGAAAGGCTAATAATATTTAATGTGTATTAAGTAGGAAAGTGATGAAGATTAAAAATATGTTAATTTGAAGATTTAGTTTTAAACTGTGAAGATATAGTTAATAGTTAATTTATAATATGAACTAATTTAATATTTATATTCATATTTAGTTAAAAATAAACTCTTATTTATATAAATTTTTCTACTAAATATAAAAGTATAATATATAATACTTGGTAGTCCTAAAAATTGATTGACAAAAATCAATTTTACACATGTGTACGGTACATTGTGTAAGTATTTTAAGCAAATTCCTAATGGGAATGGCCTACAGAGGGTAGTACAGAAAGTTGAGCGATTGGTAATATTCACACGAAGTGCTCTGAAGATAACGTAAATGAAGTCTCAAAGAAAATTGGGGAAAAGTGTTTTACATCATAGCCGTTCATTGGAGGGATTAAGGGAGAGTGGTTGTTTGCCACAAAATGACTCACATTATACTTGGACTTCAAATAAATAATGACAAATTTATTATAATTACAATTTTTTTAAAAGTAGGATTGACGCAAGCTAACAATTGTACGAAGTGTGTGGTGGTTCTGTGTTTTTTGATACTACGCACTTTAAAGCACGAGGCTCTATTTAAGTTATCTACACTAATCATAGAATCAACTAAAAAACAAAATGTCATCAGTTTTTAATTTTATTACTTTTCGTTTTTTGCAATTTACCAATCCATACCAAAATGTAAACGAGATCGAGAGGCAAGAAATAGAGATGTTTTTTTCATAACCTACTCAAAAACTCGTCATCTATTAAAAATATTATCCGGTTTTCAAGAAAGCACTGTCTTATTTAAATTACACGAAAAATATTTTGCTATAAAACAATTGTTTAATCGACATTTGGTTTTACAATAAAAATTGTAATACTTAGATAATTAGAGCAATTAAATTGATTAGACTTAAAAATCAATACGTGCACTAAAAAGTAAATTTAATGAGACTGAAATAATTTTTTAAACAATATTCAAATAATTATATATGCTCTACTCGTTCCTCATTTTAAGCGTTATTCTAATAATAATAAATACTTGACTGAGGACCTCAAAAATATTATTAGATTGGTTGTAAAATTTAGTACTCAAAAATTATTTATAAAAATATTATATTACTTAAATAAAGTCTTCCTAATGACTGCAACAAAAGTGATGGCTAAAAATACAAATGCAAATGACAATGAAAGAGTGTTAGCCAATTGTACACCCAACGTAGGTGAATATTTACTTCTGTAAATTTTCATACTATGGTTTAATAAATATAAATTTTATTAATCTAGTATCATCCAAAAAATTCTGTTAGTTCTTACAGGCAATCTTCATCCGGGTTAGGACGACACACGCATACACCGTTTAAACATTCATTAGCATGTGGCATTTGACAACATTGGGTCACCACACAACTTTCTTGAAATACTAAAATATTATTAAAAAATCATAATTTTATCGCATTTGTTTAACCAACACACCAGATAGTAGTTTTTATAGTAAAAATAAATTAAAAAACCAAGAAAATTCTTTGTTGAGTTATTCAATTTTTCATTGTATTGAGGCCTAATAATTTAAGGGGTTAAAACGGACGATAGACCCCTCTGATCCAGCGCCATCCATATTTTATGATAATTATGAAATATGTATACTTTGATACCTTTACGATTTAACGTCTGATATTTTTACCAGACCCTCTCAGAAATATTTCTGAGATATCATATAAAACAATATTTCAATCCGTTCATTTTTTACCATTAGGTGAGCTTTTTTTTTAGACGCTCGACACGTCAAGATGCATCGCCCAAATATCATACGGCACTTTTTACGTCATGAAAACGATTTTTTTCCGATTCAATTTTACACAACAATATTCTAAAAAGTATTTAGTAAGTAAGGAAACAGGTCAGTTGATACAAACAATAGAAATCCGTTTCCTTACATATAGAACACTATATATTTTGAACTTTTAATTCATACAACTACATTTTTAATATTAAAATATTGAATTTTAATCAATACATTACTTTTTAATAACAATAATTTGTTACATATCAATTTATAATTTGTGAATTTAATTTACTTTACGAGAATTTAAAAAATACACTGTATTTTTTATTTTAAATAATTAACCAAAATTATATTGTGATGGTGTCACGTTTTCATAATCGTGAGAATTATTTTAATAAAATACAGACAGCACATCCGCTGCCTGAGACTGGTGAATTAACAAATAATATTTATTGCCAAATCGGCAATAGGTGTAATTATTATAAAAACCCAATAGACCTGACCATCGTCGTCAGTCGACTCCAGTGCCTTGTGTCATTCATCAGTCTCAGTACTCGGTTGTCGCTGTCCGGCTTACTGTTTAAAGTAAAGTCTTTGTTTATTCCTTTTCTAACCTATATACTCTTTTCCTCGACATTTCAGAGTATTTGTGTCTTGCACTTCGTCTGCACCTCATACCTAGGTGTTACTCTTATTCTCCCTTCCTATAACAACAGCCTTTCGACACCCACAGCTAACCCGGAGTGTCAGCCGAGCACGGTGACTGCTGTACGACAACACGCACGTGAATACCTAGACAGCAGGCACCACCTCCTCATATTCATCTTCGTACACACAGGTACACTTTCACACTTAGTTTTTCTTTCCTGTGTTACGACAATATAAATAAGTGAATTATTTAAATTCTAAAAAATATACACAACTGCTTACATTTGTAATTTAATTAATTAATGCACTTTAACAACTATACTTTAATTTTCGAAAATAAAATGTTACATATATTTTATATTATAATTTAATTGTATCTATTTATTGTAACAACTATATTAATTAAAATAAACACTAATTTTTAAGTTATATTAATAGTTTCTATCGAAAGCTAAAAAACAAATTAAAATAAATAATTAATGTAAGTATTAAATATATTTATTACTTATACTATATACAAATTTATAAAAATATAATTAGATTATATTTATTATATTATGTTATATATAGAAAATATTTATTATACATATATTTTTATTTGTTTTTAATTATGTTTATATGTAAATAAATAATTTATATAAACAATAAATATATAATTAATTAAATTTATTTATTTCCCTGTGGATAGGAGATAAAAATACATCCACGGCCCCTCTGCTAGTCGTAAGGGGCGACTAATGAGGTTGCGTCAGGTCGATAGCCGGCGTAAATTTTTTTGTTAAATAGTATGAGGTGTCCTGAACAAAACTTAGGCGAATAATCGCATCTCGGATGTACGCAGGGACAAACAATCCATTTATTTTTTGTAAATAAATTATTAAAGGTATGTTAATGTTTATTATTAATTATTTATTATAAATGTTCAAATAAAAATAATTATTATATAAATATACTTTTAATAATAATACTAAATAATAAATTGTATTTTATATTATTATTTAGAATTGTACAGTCGAAAATTAAAATATAGTTATTTAAAATGCATTAAACAATTTAATTTCAAATAATTTTGATTGTGCATATAATTTTTTTAAAAAACTACATTAGATGAAATTTTCACACGATGTATTTATAACGTTCAATCGAAAACTTACATTTGTTACTTCAGTGTTCATAAGCCCATTATAGTCAAGTGAAATGAGAAAACCAGTGACAATAAACGAGTATATGATAGGAGAGGTGGAAAGTTTTAGGAAAAAATAGATCTTAGATAGTTTGGTCATATTATGAACAGATAAAAATCGGAAGCTGTAAGAACAGTTATGGAAATGAATGTTGAAGGAAGATGAGGTAAAAGTAGACCAATAAAGAAATGAATAATAATAATAATAATAATAAATTTAATGAATTTCAATTGAAAATAAAATTTGTAGGTGTATTTTTGTATTTTATTCCAAAAGAATCCTAATATTATATGTCGTATTAAGAATGAAGAGGTTAAGTTGGACATTATTGCGGATAATCTAAAACTCAGTACCAAGAAAATTCAGGATAGAATGAAGATAGATTATTGGCCTATTTAGAAAATTTTAAACTCTAATAATTGATTGCCGTACCATTTCCAAAGAGAGGAGAATTTTTGTCGCAAGTTTATAAGCCACAAATTTGTATAGAACTCTATAAAAAAATTAAAATAAAACAGCCAGATTCTTATGAAAATATTTAATTTACGGATGAGGAAATTTTTTAAAAATTGGGATATACAATTAGCACAGTGTTCATTATTGAGCGGAAGATAATCCTCATGTAATACACTATAGTATCATAATATGGATTCAGTGTAAATATTTGGTGTAAATATTTCCCGGACGAATCATCAGGAGGCGGTCGGAATAAATACAATTCATAGACCAGATATTATATGGCCTGCTCGTAGCCCACACTTAACGCCATTTTTTTATGGGTTTTTTAAAAAAGGACGTCTACGCAATTGAAATTTTAAACCAAGACAATTAATAGAAAGAATAAATAGTGCAACAAACATAATAAGGGAAAGAACGGAAATGTAGGATCGAGTTTGAAATTCATTACAGCGTCGCCAGAAATTTGTATCGAAGTAGACTACACTTTAAACAATTAATTTAAAAATTATTTACACTTAAAAAATTCCATTAAATTACGAATACTTTTAAACAAATATTAACATAACTAAATTAATATGACGACTAATTATTAATTAACTAAATAAGTTACTATTGTCGTTTTGTGTTGAGTAATTGATTATCGCAACCAAATGATCAAAAATTACACTAGTAAGTAAAGTAAAGGCAAATTAGTCATATTGTGTGTTTTAATAGAGGGACGACAAACTTGTGGTAATTTTTTTCAATGTTTTGTCATTTAAGTGTAGCACTATTTACAATACGAGTGTATTTAGTTCACAATGATAAAAAAAAAATGCATTATTATTTAGTTTATTTTACTTAAACTTTTTTAACAAAAAATGAAAATAAAGTCTTTTACAGTGTGTGATGGTTTATTATTGAAAAATTGTTTATTTAAATTACATTTTTAAACAAGTGACAAACATTAAGAATGTGTTTTACATTGCAGATTATTTTTTTACTGTAGATTAATACTTTTACAATTTATGCATTTTTATTGCATAAAAGAATAAGCTATAATTTAAAAGTTATTATCTAAAGTTAAATAAATATTAACAAGCACAGTGATATATCGTATTCGCACTCGTGATTAATGTTGGAAAAAAATAGTGTGCTGATTACACTAAAATAATTATCCTAATGTAATAAAGTTTATAGTATTCAACACAAAGTATTAATTTCAATCTTGTGACTATTTTATTTTCCCGACTTAAAAGTGAAAAAAAAATGTTTATAGTTTTTGTAGTTCAATTTTAATGGTTTTAGGTTCTACTGAATATCACCTTAATACTCGTAACATACATTAAACCAGTACCCTATTTATTAGTGGATAAAACTTTGAGGTATATTCATTAAAGTAAAATAAAAATGGCTAAGAAGCCGTTTCTGAACAATATTTTGTTCTTAAATTAATTTTAAGAACCGTAAAAAAAACCCAAACTAGAGTCTGTCACATTAATGTATGACTTAAACATAAATTATTTTTATTTTGTAATACTGTAGACAATTTTTGTTGTTATTCTTAAAATTATAATTGAGAACTTTATATTTAACACTTACATGAACATTTAGCGCAATAACTCTTACTGGAATTACCTTCATCTTTCACTAGGTAATAACCCTCGATACATTCACAACGATCATTTTTACATACACTATTATTAATAGCCTGCGATGAACAATTGTTGCTATTGTTGCAGTTGTCAGGTAACCATTCTGTAAAGTATTAATACTTATTTTATATAGTTATAATTTAACATGACACAATTATGTATATAGAACATAAAAATATTTTTGAATGAATAAGTTTTTTAAAATTTTTAATACTAAAAAAATCTAATATAATTATTAACTTTCAATGTTTGATTAATTTAAATTATTTACGTCTATTTTCGTTTTTATATTTTTTACAACAAATTTATTATTTAACAAATCATTTAAACTCTTCAAAATGTTTGAGATTAATTTCAAACACTAATGAATTAGGAAAAAAGATTATACGTTTAACAAAAAAAAATATCAGTTGTAGGGGATGTGAAGCATTACTATGTGTACGAGGTAACGGATTCCTAAAATGATCTTAGAAAATTCCCTTAGCTATTATTTTTAAGATAACGCGTATTTACATAGTCATTATCAAATTTGTATCTCACTTAACGATAATTATCTATAATTTGACGGAAATTACATTATCACATTTTAATAATTATGCTCTGATTTATTAAATTTTCATTCAATTTATACCACTTTTTTACAAAAGTAAACTGACATATTAAGTCAGTTTTATTTTTATAAAATTTTAATAAATATTCAAATAGTTATAAAATTTATAACTTTTGATTTTTCCAAATTTTGGATATATATTCATGGTTTACTAAAACAATGTAAAATTTATTAATATTTAAAAAATTCCGAAAAAATAATAAAGCTTCAATTATTGACATATTTTAGTAGCTAAAAAAAATTATTATTAGATAAAATATTANTTTCCCATATAAATGTATAAGACATTTAATTATATGATAATGAGCATGGTATCTAGAACGGTCAGTATACAGGGTGTTCAGTAAGTCAGGAAACGGGTTTCTATTGTTCTCATTGTTTGTAACAATGAGAACAATAGAAACCCGTTTCCTGACTTACTGAACACCCTGTATACTGACCGTTCTAGATACCATGCTCATTATCATATAATTAAATGTCTTATACATTTATATGGGAAATAAAAATTTTTTTGATAAAACTGTGAAGTTTTTGTAAAATTATTTTAAAGAAATAATATTTATTCAATTAACTATTTTAAATTTGGTACATAAAACGTTTGACACACTTACTCTTCAAATGAATAAAATGTATTTTTTTGACATTTAAAATCCATTAATTTATTCAAAAATAACTTTTTATCATATAAAATAATAATAATACATTTACTTAAAACATGTATTACACTATTCAGGAAGATCTACCATTAAAACTATCATTAACTAAATTTTATTTGTATGTATAATAAAATGACGAATATAATTGAACCTCAAATCAGGATGTAAATATATAGCAAAAACTACAATTTATACTGTATTTTAGCTTCGATGCGAAGCTGAGAAGGTATTAATTTTACCATGATGTGTTTATTTATTTATTTTTTTTTTTTTTGTGTCTGTCACTACTTTTTCTCAGCTCTCACTGAAAACTTAAAAATTAAAAGTTATTAAATATATCAAAATGTGACGGGGAAAATTAAAACCAGTATGTTCATTTGAATTTTAGTGTTTTCAGAATTACTCGGACAAAATTTATAAATAGATTGATTTGAGCCTCAATAATAATCAAAGTTAAATTTAATGCGCTGATAACCTTTTTAAGCAACACATATGCACTTTAAACTGATAAAATATGTAACAATATACATTTATAAAACTATAAAATATGCACTTAAGTTATAATTTTTTAATGTTTTCTTTGTCTAATTAGGGTTGTACCAAACTAAAACTAATATGTTATTTGAATTCCATAATAGACATAACGACAAGGCACTGCCTTTAATAGATAATGATGAATATACATAATATAATTTAATAATATCCCATGTTCCATAATTTTCAAAAAAAAATCTTGCATAATGGGATCGTGGTACAGTGGGGACGTAGCATAGTTGGGTACAGTATAAAATTAATCTGACAGTGATTATAATCACTATCATAAGAAACGCTTCGATGCAAATCTGTAGATAGTGTTTAATTTTAAAAAATTGATGGATTATTACAAAAGCTACATGATCTGCTAGTTCATTATTAATATCCTAATTAAGATAAAGTATGTCGAATGAAAAAGGGATTATTAAAAAATATTATTTCTCATAAAAAAATAATGTTGATCCATACACTTTTCAATATGTCATAGCATTATAAAGTTAAAAATGTAAAAAATAAAATCGAGAATTTTCACACAATAATAGCATTCGGTAGCCATTTTCACCGTGAAGATAAAATAAAGTCCGAAATTTTTTTTTACCATAATAAAGTATATTACATTCACTTTAATTTAAGATATATATAAAAGTGTCAGACCTTCCGGAACACTTTCAAAATTTAAGTTGAAAAAGT